ACGCATTCTCCGTTGTGATAGTACAAAATAATCAACCCCCTCAAACAAGCAAACGCCTTGCCCTCCCCACCCTCCGTCCACGCCAAACCGGAAAAACCTAAACCGCAGGCAAAAAAATTCCAAGTCAGTCAAAGAAAACAAAACAAAAACGCAAGGTTCGGAACGTAACCAAGCGCCATCAAATCACAACCTTGTATCAACCGCGCAAGTCAGGGTATTCCATAATGTTTATATTGCTGCAAGCCAACCAAGAGCGCGCTCAAAGTGGTGGCCAAGAAGTGTGAGTCTGGGGATATGAATCAAAGGAAAAAGACGATGCTAGGCGACCTCTCCTTTACGCGCACGTACATACTATCGGTATACGTCTTCCATCCGTGCAAGACCACAAAGGAGCCAGAAGAAAAGGGGGAGGCAAACTCCCAAAGCAACAAGGAAAAGTGTAGGGCTTCACTTCGCATCTTCAGCACTAACCGTCTTGCTAATGCGCACCAACAACACCCCCTTTGTAATCACGCCATTCGCGTCGTAAAGATGCATTATCCGCAATCCAGGCTGGCATCGGTCAAGGCGGAAACAGGCCCAGGCCGCGAGGTCGTCGCTCAGACGCTCGTCGTCCATGATTTTGAACCTGCCGAGAAAAGTCAGACATGGGGGTAAAAGCAGAGAGATGTGGGTTGTGCAGGTGTCATGGGGGCCGGAGAGCGATAAAAGCAGAGTTTGCGCAAAATGTGAGGCCAGATGTGTGACGTTCGGAACGGATGGAAAAAGGAAATACAAATGGGGAATGCAGTGAGAGTCGACGACGGTACGGTTGAGCCGTCATGGCCGAATGGGGTAGTACTGGAGCGACAACGAGGCCTGTTCGGGGAATACATCTCTCACTGGACCGGGTAGTCCTCCGGCGGTCAAGCAGCGACGATAACACACGCCGATTGTGGTGGTATCCACAGCGCGTTTAGAAGATCTCATCTGCTGGCTTTGTTTGCCGGGTTGCTCGTCGTGCAGTTGCTCTCTCAAAGCTCCACTTCGATACTAAAATGCATGCGTATCACCAAATCTTCGCGCTGCCAAGACTCCATAGTAGCATGCATTGTCTCAGTCTGGTTCGCGCGTACATTGTTGTGACCGTTGTGGCAGAGCTGAACTTGGAGTTGAGAAAACGATGAGGCGCTTCAAGGATCGGGTTGCGCAAGCGGTAGACCGGCTATAATTGCCAAAAACTGCCTTGCTTTCCAATTCGGTAACGTGGTACGGCAGCTCCTAGCAGACCGCGAACCGTTGCGCAGGGTTTCGGTGCAAGGAGATCGCGATCTGTACCATGGTCCCAACCATGTTTGCAAAATGTGGGTCTTGGCATGCGCGGGGAATCCGTATGAGAAACGTGGATCCAGGATATGGCGCCGAACGAGAAAATGCCGAGCTGAAATGCAAAAGGGAGAGGGCAGAGAGGTAGACAAAACAAACAGAAGAGAAAGACTCACCTAACAAAGGTCAACTCCTCAGTCACGCCCCCAACCCCCTTGAAGCTCACAACTTCCCTTCCAAAATCAGGATTTGTCGTTCGATACGTCTTCGTCTTGACCTTGTACTCTCCCTTTTGACTGCGTCCGTTTCCAGGAACCGGCTCACCCTCCCTCTCCTCAGGCTTCTCAACATGCAACTCCACCTTGACGTACGGCTTGAAGTCCTCTGGATCATCCTCGTCGGGTGGTAATGGGATGTCTTGGCCTGCCAGGAATTCGATGCTCAGATCAAGGGTATGACGCTGAATGGCGGTCTTCTGTGTTGCAGCACCATCTCCACTGTCGCTGCGGTAGCCCGGTGGTTTAAGCACCCAGCCTCCAGTACCGGCGAACATGGCCTCATTTTGCATCATGGCTCCATCCCATCGCTGCCAGTTCAAGGCAACAATTTGTACGCCTGCGCGCCAAAAGACCGAGGGATTAAGGTTGGATGAGGTGATGCGGAGGCCCTTTGGGTAGGCACGCATGAAGAAGTGCTTGTTGTGCGTGAAGAGACCAGCTGGATTGGTCGAGTGGACTTCCATGAGAGCTTTTTCGGAAAGAGAGAAGACATGCGTGGGAATTTGGGCTTCTGGCGCATCAAGAGACTTGAAAGAATACCCGCCGAAGTAGACGCCCAGACGGGAGAGTGCGTCGATGATCTTGGGCTTGGGAGCAGGAGGCTTCTCACCATCGGGGGCTTCAGAAGATGATGTTGTCTCATTAGAAGCGACAGAATCATGGCTAACAGTTTGCTCCAGTGGTGGGGCTGGGGTTTGCAGAGTTGTTGGATTGGCCGTAGCGGCAGCAGTCTTGGTGTGCCCGCGCTTGACTTTGACGAGGATCTTGTTTTCAAGCTCTTTGAGGGTGGGGAGATTGATTTGATCAGAGGGCTGATTTGGATCGAGGGGAAGGTCAACAAGAAGGCCCTTCCAGTATTCGTTCATGATTTCGACCATAATCTCCTGTTGCTCGGCACCGGCATGTACTTCAAGGCTGACGATCAGCGGTAGGTTGGAAATCCTGAATGCGTATTCTTTGATAGTTGCGCAGACTGCTCGGAAGGACATGTTCGTGGTCAAGGTGTAGCCATGGGTGACCCTTGGCTCGGCTCGAGTAATCAAAGAATTGGAATGCCAGGGTGTCACGCTTTGTGCCTGGTCCTGTTGCGCTGCCGTCTCCTCTTTGGCCTTTTCTTCCTCCTTGGCCTTCTTGTTGAACCGCAACTCTAGTCTCTTGCGAAGGCTCAGACCTGTCTTGGACTCCTTTTTGCCCTCTATCACCCCAGGATTACCCTTCGCTGCCTCCTCGTCAGAGCTAGAATCAGAGAGCTCCTCGCCGTCCCAGACATCAATCTCCACACAGCGACAGCCTCTGAGCAGGACGTTCTTGTAAGCATCAACACTCGAATCGCTGGAAAGTTGATTGCCAGTGAGATATGTATTGTGGCTCGACGAGATGAAGTAGTTGGAGATGGGATACGACTCGTCGACAGGGTCTGCAGGCTTCATTACGCTCGCCACATCGGACATGAAGTAGTTGGCAAAGTGGGCGAAGGAACCATCTTGCAGCAGCTCGGCATCACGCTCTGACGTTGATTGCTCCTGTGCCAGCCAGCGTAGTCGGCCCTCCTTCGATTGTAAGTTGTATTTCGCGTTGATCTCATCATAGGCGAGCTTCAGGTACTGGCTCAGCTGTGGAGATAGATTATCGACGCTGCGAGCTTTGGTTGTGGCTGCAGCTATGCCTCCACCGGCCTGGAGTTCTGGGTGGTCAAGCTTGGGGGTGCCCAGTTTGGGGTCTTTGGCGGGGTCGGGCATTGTGGAGATGAAGGTGAGGGTGCAGTGATGTTGCTAGGGGTACTGAACCAAAGGATTAGAGGGTGGAAAGGATCCTGCTGGGCAGCGAGGATGTTGCTGGTGGGCGGTGCGGTGCCTACGTATAGTTGCTTGTAGATGGATGCCTGAGGCTGTGCTTGGTTGACACCTCAGCTTTGCTTACCTTACCTATCGCTGTAAGCATTTGCTCTGTGCATGTGTAAACTATAACACGTCGTCTGAGGGAAGGGTGTAATACTCACAGGAGAACAGAGTTCTTTTCGTTTCAGGGTATGTGATTGAGGTATGATCAGTGAAGTGGCAGCAGAGTCCTCTTCAAAGGCAGGTCAGACGTGGGTGCGGAGCTGCCTCATACCTACACAGCTCGCTCGAGCCCACACTCTCTGCCTTGGCTGCCTGCCGCATCACTGTTTGATCGCCCCTCCAATTCCAGCAAGCGCAATCCATCACACGCGTATGTTGTCGCAAACAGCCATCTTGCTTTGAATCTCCCAAAAAAAAAACACACACACGCATGAACAATGATTGACGACTCTCCTTCGCAGGGAAGCGCGAGCAATCTACACAATGAGCGACTGACATGTGGTGAGATCCATGCGCAGGTGCGAGTTCCAACAGCCTCGCCAAGACATCGACGTCACAGGGTCCAACCCATTCATCCATCCATCCAATGTCTAACACGCTTCCCCCATCAAAAAGAAATGGGCGTATGAATTCGCATCATCCAAAAAAAAAACAATCCCACACAGTACAAGAAAATCCATTCATAATGGCCCCATCACGCCGTGAAGCAGAAGCCTCCGTCCGCTCCTGGGGCTATCCTCACGTCTTCACATGGACAGACCATCCGTACGTGACATTACCATCTCCTACACACACACACACACACACACCCACTCACTGCCGCACCTACATCTAACACCAAGACACGACAACAAATGCCACTGACAATACCCCCCTTTTCACAACCAGCAACGCACACTACGCACCCCATCAACACAGCGGTCCAACAACCCACCTCATCCTCAAAGGCTCACTAACATACACCTACCCCAACGACGCAGCGCCGAAGAAAGAAACCATCGGGCCAGGCGCAAGGTGGGATGTCGATGCAGAGCGCGTGCATGAAGTATGGGTGGGAGGAGAAGGGTGTGAGTATGTCATCGGGGAGAGTTGATATGCATGAGACTTCCAACGAAATCAAAATACAAGTCAAAAATCAACACAAAAAGAATCAGACTCGAAGAAGGTTTCCAACATCTACAGTGCTAAGAAAGAATATATTCGAATCCGCTACCCCTCTTATGTTACGCCGTCTTACTGTAGCCCACTTCCTTACCCCAACACCCCATTGGCACCCAACCACTTAATCGCCCTCAAGCCCATCTCCTCCCGCTTGACCAACTCCTGCTCCACCATCCTCTCATACAAACTCATACCCAGCCCTCCAGCAGTCCTCCCTTCCCCACCCTTATCAGCCGCTGGATGCGCATACCTGCATTTATTACTGAATTTACAGCGCCCGGTCCGCAACCACGTCTCACACGTTTTCTTGCCTTGCTGCTCGGCCAATTTTTCTGGGTTGGATTTGGGGCCTGGTGGGGGGATGTGGATGGGTAGGGGCGGGATTTTGGAGGATGTCGGGGCTGGGGGTTCGTTGGAGGAGGAATCGCTGTCTGCTTCATCATCATCATCTTCTTCATTTTCGTCTTCAGAGGATGGGGATAGGGAGGATACGATGGAAGATTCGGCGTCGGAGGCGAGGGAGGAGTCGGATTCGTAGCCTAGACCTAGATTTACAGGTGGGGGCTTGTTTTGCTTGTCGACCATGCTTTGATGGAGTTTTTTCCGGAGGGCAGCTAGGTCTTCTTGCCCCTTGTCATGCTTCGCGGCCTCTCTGGTGTCGTCTGTGGGTTTCGGAGGCTGCAGCGCTTTCGTCGGGCTCTCGTTGAGTCTAGTCTCGTCGTGCGTCTTGGGTGGAAGACCCTTTAGTTTACGCAAAAATTCTATCTCGGTCGCTCGTTTCCTAGCTTGCTCCTGTGCCTTTTCTGCAATCCGCTGTTGTGTGGGAAAGTTTTTGCGTCGGTCTCTTACCCAGGCTGCCACTTCTGCCGCTGTACGAATCGTGATTTGCTCTCCTTGGTACTCGAAAGCAAAACCACCATCCTTGAGCTTTTGAGCACATGCTGCTTCTTCGTCGACGTCTTCTTCTGCTTCGCCGTCGCTAGTAGGCTCTTCGGCTGGGAGACGAGTGTCTGATAATCCGAGGTTGAGCTTGCGCTTTTTTTGTTCCTTCTTACTCTTGGTATTCGAGGCTGCACTGGGTGGAGCGATGGAGGGTATGGGTAAAGAGAAGCCAAAGCTAGGTACGGGAGGGGGTACAGCAGCCTTTGCACGCGGTGGCCTCGTACTCTGTTGGGTCCATGTAGGTTGCGTGTGCGGTTGTGTATTCTTGTTGCAATCGCCTAGCTTCCGTTTCTGGCCTGCTTGCTGTTGCGGGGAGTAACGAGGCGAAACTTGTATGATTCTAGGCGGTGACGTTGGCGAGCCTTGCACCGGAGTGTTACCACCATTCGTCATATGACTGGCAAAAGCAGCCATTGAATGGACCCCAGCTGGGGTAGACATGTACGACATGACTTGTGCCAGCGCATTGGGGTCGACTTGGGACTGCGCTTGTCCCTGGTCTTGCGATTGATTTACAAAAGCAGGATTGATATACGCTTGGGCTGGTGGCGCATTCGTTGGAGGGCCTTGCCAGTTCTGTGATGATGCACGTCCAGCATGTTGGCTGCCTCTATGATTTCCACCACCCCTTTGATGTTGCGAACTTCCCCTTGGGCCTCCCCGGCCTCTGCCTCCACGCATATGATCATGGTTGTAGCCACCTCTGCTATTTCCTGCCGAGCTGTGCATGCCCGTGCCACGTGATTGACTACCCCCTCTTCCACGTCCTCTTTCGCCGCCTCCTCGACCAGAACCGCCTCTCTGGCTGCCATATGTGTGTTTTGTATCGTTTGAAGATGCCTTGGGCGGCGGTGGAGGTGGAGGTGGAAACTTGAAAGACGACATGTTCGGGTTGTGTTCCGCTTGATTTGGACAATAGGTCACGTGTAGGATGCCATTCGAATAGCGTTATGGCACGAGGTCGAAGAGGATATAGAATACGGCATGTCACAATGATGAAGGCGATGGGATAAGGCGACGCGCAGTCCGACGCGCTCACAAAAAACGTTATCGATTAGGTATGCTAGCGTGACGCTAAAGTCGCATACATTCCGTTCAGCTGCCTCCATTGGACTATCACTCCAAACCCATCATGTCGCGGTGACCACTTCTTACTGTCCAGACCCATGAAGCCTCTGAAGTTACGGCCATGTTCATACTTGTAAGTGTCCCCTACTTGTCTTCCATTTCTGGGCATCATCTATGCCGTCTCAATGAAAATTTGTGCTACTACTTGGGCACTCACCACGTCGCAATGTCACCAGAAGATACAAATGTAGTGTTGCAATTCTCGCCAGCGAAAATGTACAGATGGGTTGCTGTAGCCAGCTGACCTTTAGCTTAGACTACGATTCAAGACCTAATACAGATCGCGCCTCAGGACTTCAAGAAGCCGAGCGATCAAGCAATCAAAGATGTCGTCAACGACAAGTACAGCAACAAAATCGTCCCTGGCATTGGCCTCTGTATATGCATGTGGGATCTTCTGTCTGCATCAGAAGGGTTGATTGGCCATGGTACTGGACTCGTGAATGTGAACAGTACGTCTGCCTCTTTCCCTTGAGACCATGCAGGATCTGACCAGAAAACAGTCGAATTTCGCATGGCAGTCTTTCGCCCATTTCGCGGTGAAATCATTTACGGTCGAATCAAGTCATCCTCCCCAGAAGGCATCATCATCGACCTTGACTTCACCTCTGAGATCTTCATTCCCTACCAAAACCTATTCGAGAACTCATCCTTCGATCAGGCTGAAAGCGTATGGGTGTGGAACTCAGACGGTACAGAGCTCTTCTTCGACAAGGGTGAGCCGGTGCTGTTTCGCGTCGAACAAGAAGAGTGGATCGATCAGCGGCCGACGATAGTACAGAAAGATGAAGATGGTAACGTGATTGAGGAAAGAGGCACGGCGTGGAGGATTATTGTGAGTTGATTCAGGTAATGCGATGGAATGAATAAAAGCTAATACGATGCAGGGATCTATGAACCAGGCTGGGCTGGGACCGACATTGTGGTGGGGCGAACAGGAGGAAGAGGGCGAGGAAGGGGATGTCGAAATGGACGGCGCAGAGGGATAATTCTTGGGTCATGACAATACACCTCTTATGTGGACGATTTCGATTACAGTGTGAGCACGAGCGATGAACACCTGGGCTCGGGTTCGGCCACTTGTTTATTGTACGTTCATATTACCTCGTCCAATATTTGCTGCAAGGACAATTCTATCAACTGCATATTTTATGATCAATACTAAACCTACGTTCTCGATAGCTCTTACTTGAAGACTGCACACCAATGATCAGACCCCAACTCTTCGGCTTTTCTACGAAGGGAAACGTATAACTTTGCAAGAACGTCAAACCCTGACGTTTCTCGAGTGATTCGTCGCAATAAGCCCGATTGGGAAACTCCGCCCGAACCGAGGTATCTCTCCGCCTTTCCTCAACCCCACAGCTCTTCCCTGGAAAACGGCACAGCCAACAAGCAATCTGTGCGACACGAAAGGAACTGATACAAAACCAGAAGCTGCCAATTGACTTTTGCCCTTGACTTTACTTTGTCTTCTCTCACTTCATCTTTCTGGTTTCTGTGACAGCGTCATCGTATCGAGCGACGAGAAAGCAGCCAATCCCTCATTTCACCTAACCTCTACCTAACTACCATCGAACCTCTTCTTGCAACACACCACCCTTTACGCCACCCTCACAACCCTCACAACCACCTTCAACATGCCCACTTACACCTCCATCCACCTGGCAGAACGCCCCACCTCGGCCGTTGTGGCCAACAAAACCTTCACCGCACAACACCACCCCATCCCGCCCGCCTCCAGCCTAAAACCGAACCAAGTTCTCTTCCGCACCCTCTACCTCTCCCTCGACCCCGCCATGCGCGGCTGGCTTAACCCTACACGCTCCTATATTCCCCCCGTCGAAATCGGTGCCGTGATGCGCGGCTCAGGCATCGGCCTCATCGTCGCCTCCACATCCCCCCGCTTCCCCGTCGGCACCTACACCACGGGCATGTGCGGCTGGAGCGAGTACGCCATACTTGATGACAAGCATGTGGAGGCTTTGGATCTGCCCGCCGGCGCTGTCCCCACGGATGCGCTGGGCGTGTTGGGCATGACGGGCTTGACTGCCTACTTTGGCATCTTGGATGTCGGCAAGGTCAAGAAAGGTGACTTTGTGGTTGTCAGTGGAGCGGCGGGGGCGACGGGGAGTGTGGTCGGTCAGATTGCGAAGATCATGGGGGCAACGGTGTTGGGGATTGCGGGCGAGGACAGCAAGGTTGCGTGGTTGAAGGAAGAGTTGGGCTTTGACGAGGCGTTGAACTACAAAGACCCCGAGTTTGCTAAGAAATTTCGTGCGGCCACCCCGGATCTCGTCGATGTCTATTTCGATAATGTGGGTGGGGAGATTTTGGATTTGGCGCTTAGTCGGGCCAAGCCGTTTGCCCGGTTTGTCATGTGTGGTGCGATTAGTGAGTATAACAAAAGCAAGCCTCAGGGGTTGAAGGTATGTTTTATATTTCCTCTCTTGTCCTACATGACATCACACAAGCCCCGCTAACATCCCACCCCCATAGAACTACATGATGATAATCTCCATGCGCATCCGCATGCAAGGTTTCATCGTCTTCGACTACGCCTCGCAATACCACGCCGCGCGCGCACAACTCGCCCAATGGCTCTCCGAAGGCAAACTGAAACGCAAGGAAACCATTGTTCAGGGCGGCATTGAAAAGGCAGCCGACGCGCTGGTGGGCCTTTTTGAGGGACGCAATACAGGGAAGATTATGGTCAAGGTGGCGGATGAGGGCGAAGTCGCGTCAAAGTTGTAGAAGAACGAACGAGTAAAAATCTATATTGGTATGCGCGGAAAATTACACATCTATAAAAACAGGTATCATGGGAGAATGGTATGTGTGACTGATCTGACGTCGTGAGCAGACTTCGGTTCGTCTTCTTCACCGGTCCAAGTCTTGGCGTACTTCCTCTTTCTGCTTCTCCTTCTCTCTCTCTTCTTCCTCTTTCTCCTTTTCCTTTCTCTCTTTTTCTTCCTTCTCCTTTTCTTGTTTCTCTTCTTCCTCTTTCTTCGCCCTCATCTCCGCCTCCTTTTCCTTTCTCAACGCTGCAGCCTCCTCATCCTCGCCAGTCATATGTTTCATCGTCAACGTCCCACTCCTCCACGCCTGCCAATACTGCTCCACAGCGCTAGTGATATCGCGCTTCGTCTCCCCAGCCCACACATTTCCCTCTTCCTCCACCATATCCTCCCACTGCCCCATCCTCACCACGCGGTCCACATCTCCTGCAAAATGCGCGATGAAATCCCCCTTGCGTGCGCGGAAGAACTCCAAATCCTCGGGCTCCAGATTCTGGCGGTACTTCTCCACGCTGGCCTCTTCATCCGGGTACGCGTTGAACCAGTACCAGGGCACCTTGGCAAAGCGGCCCTTGGCATTCTCCTCCTGCATCAGAGCAGCCATGCCTGACTGCTCGGCGAAAGGCAAGGTGTCGGGATTCCGGTAGTGGCGAATCGCGAGCACATCGCTGAGGTAGTCGACCATCCACGTGCTGACTTTAAACAAGAAAACGCCGGCGTTGAGGCCATAATTGTCTTCGTTGACAATGAGTTCGATCTTATCAAACGCCGGATCCTGCGGGGGCAAGAACGAGGAGAGCGGGCGACAGGCGTCGAGCACGATAGCATCGCGGTCAATCCACATCATCCACTCAAGACGCTGGCTCGCGGGCTTCAGCAGCTCCGTCATGACGAGGTGCAGCAAAAAGGCGATTTTGTTCCACATCCCACTCGTCAGCGATTCGCAGAGCACGTGGGCTGAGGTGTCGTGTACGGCGGCGTGAAACATTTGCGTGAGGATGGCGCGCTGGTAGGACTCTACACTTGCGCCCGTGGTGATGGATGCGAAGCCTACTCGGCGAGTTTCTTGGGTGGGGAACGGTGCGTGTTGTGTGCATGAAGCGTTGCGGTCGAGTGCGGCTTGTTTCCATTGCGCGTTGAAGTGTGGCATGCATTGTGTTTGGCCGTAAGATATGTGCGTTCGACTGTAATCGCGTTCTGGGATTGTCGGTTTTTTGGAGTGGGCTGGACTCGAGGGGTCGTCATCATATTCGTCGTCTATTGAGTCACCGTGGGGTGCTTTGATGGCGTCGGAGAACCATTGTGAGTTATTTTGGTCGGTCAAGACAGAAGGAAGGCCTTGCTTGATGTAGGGAACGGGTTGGTAGGTTGAGACTTGGTAGCAGGCGGCTAGGAAGAGGGTGACAATTACAAGCTTTGGCAAAAGCGTTATTGGGGGCATTGTATGATCCACTATCTTTGTTCCCCTTGACACACTTATGCAGTTGTCCTCTCAGGCGTTGGGTAGGCTGGCCAGCAGTCAAAGAAATCTACTATTGGGAGGAAGACTGGATCGGTTTGATCAACCTACTCCCTCATGGCCGAGGGTATGACGAAACGAACGAGACCACAAGCCAAAGACGCGACGGACAACAGGCGCAGAGCGTGCGGCATCCTGGTGTCTATGTATAAGCAATGGGAAGCATTTCGGCCCATCAGGGCAAATTGGAATGTGCGTCACGGTGGCTTGTCTAGCTATCTGTCCGCTCGAGCAGCGGCCAAAGCGTGCACTGTAAGCATATTCTGGCTCTCATTGTGACCAAAAACGGGCAACGCTGGAGGATGATCCTATCAGACGTAGTATACGATAGGCGCTAAGGGCGGACTGTGAGCCGGCAAGGCATAGTGTACCAAAACTCTGGGGCTCGAGGTTGTACAGGGCCGAAAGTACCCTTGCGTGAAGTGAGTTTGGTCTCGCAGTTACGAATAAGGAGGGAGTGAGCACTGGAGATACCTATCGGTACCTACCAGAAGTCTCTGGATGGTTGCAGTGGGCGTTCGTTCCTGCTATGACCATTATGTACTCGGCTGATGGACTAGCAGAGCGCCTCCATGTCTCTAGACTATCGAAAACATTTGTCTGGTCCTACTACCGTGTCATCCGCCACCGAGTTCGTGTCCAGTCTGGCGCTGTTGATGGCGCCTTGAAGCCACCATGTAGATCAAAGACGGCCGGTAGCATCCTTGTTGGAAATCAACTTAGTGTCAGCCATGCGCTTACGGTGCCTGTCTTGGCTGAGACAAAAATACTACCGAGACGGTGCTGGAGAACTCGTCAGACTGACAAATACTTCGTATTCGGTTCCTCAATGCATATCAGCATGCTGGAACGACACGCATAGGTACCGCTACTCCCGTACTTGAAATGAACACAAAGACTTCCGCTCCATCGTCGTGTTATTTGGGCGTTTGACATGCTCCTTTCAAGTGTAGTCTTTTTGCGGAAGGTGGACCGATGGTTGTTGGCGGAAGTCATCGGCATTAATCATTGCACTGGGTGGGCGCACAGATCGTCAGACAATCAAATCAACCATCAGTTGTCAGATCTTCAGTTAGTTCTTACTGTCTGCGTTTACTGTACTGGGTTGGGTCATGCGTCAATTCTTGTCATTTGAACATGAAATGGACAACGCCGTCAATGGACGTTGTTTCTACAGCATCTGATTAAGGCCTTACCTAAGCAGGGACAGATTATTCCTAGATAGATACAGTTGGTGCTGAAAGAAGTAAGACTATTCAAGTAGGGTGAAACACGTGACCAAGCAAGGGGTACATTGTGCACTGCCTTTTTAGTAAGAGGACTAGCGCATCTGTCCTATAAATAAAGTCCATTGCTAACAAATTCCGTGCAGACGCATTGTTCATTGTCATTAATTTGAAGTTTATCGCTAAATCTACAACTGTACTCTACAGTTATCACTGCCTGTCTTGATATGTGCCACATATAATATTCACCGCTACCAGGCTAAAAATCTGTAAGTTTGTAGCACCAGGCAGGTTCTGTCGGCTGAAGAATGCGTGTCTTCTGAACTATCAACATGCGCCCTTGCGCGTCATTACGGTAAGACAATGTCTCTCTACCTTCCTCTACACTTTGAGAACTGTAGAAATTGTAGAGAATAAGTTATGCATTTATGCGGGTAGCAGGCTTTCTTGAGCACGAGTCAAGGTCTGTGCCCTAGCGACAGGGCGGGCATATGCTATGTACATAGTATGATTGTACGTAGGTATATACCATATAGCCTACAATCGTAGTAATAGTGTTTCTTAGTGGCATCTATTACTGCATGCGGCTTGCTTGGCATGATTAAAGAGTGTGTTTGTTTTAGACAAGTATCTCTCAGGTTTGCGTGGTGGCAGGCTTGTGCCAACCAGGCCTTCCAACTACCGTAGTTATTTCCTCAATCAAGGGAGCATAGCATTATTGTTCCATCTGATCCTCCATCAACAACAGAAAAACATCGGTCAATGATAATTGCGAACCTCGTTTGCGAATTGTAGAATTATCCAGCTACGAACGCAATTATCTACTAGTACACGCTGAAACTAGAAGGACCGATGTCTCGAGGGAATTTCACACAGCAACTGCCGCTGATAGATTTGACAGTCACCAGAACCACCAGGAGTTACTGGGCGTCGAAATTATGCCCTTTGGAAATCTTGCCTTGCATATATGAATACCATAGGTACGTCTTCGTCCCTAACACCAGTTTTGTCATATCTACGCAAACCTACTTTGTTAAGCATATCATCCAGCATTGCATTCCAATTGAAACTTGCCCAATCTTTCAAGTCAGCCCTGAGGCTTCTCTTCCCTGTTTGCCTTCTATTCTTCGCCAACTCGGCCCATGTCTGCTTCCCCGCGAGCCTTGCCTCTAATTTTCCCTATTTTTATCCTAGAAACTTGTATTCTGATATTCTAAGGGGGCTTACTGAACATAACTTGAGTTTTTCGGAGTTCCAATAACGAAAAACAACTCAAGGATTACATGATAGTACGCGAAGATACTTTTGTAGGAAACCAATGCTGCGATGGTGCAGTGCCAATGTCTGGCATCGGCAACTTTGATTTCGGCATGTGCAACTATAATCTCCAAGAAGGGACTAATTTTCGGGCATGGCAAGGGAATTGGACTACTTGCTATGAGCAGCAAGGGCACGCAGGCAAATTTGCTGAGCAAGTATGAATTTTGCACTGAAAGCAGTACTTAAGTGTAAGTACTTGAGATAGGAGCAGGCAATTTAAAGTGTTATAGTAAACATAACCGTTTGCCAATCTTTCAATCCCCATGAGCCATTCACGTGTGACATCTGGTCAAAGATATTCCTGTGTCTCCGAACCAGCTTTGTGTTTTCTATCTTGGTTAAGTATGGTATTCATTCCTCAAACCAGCTAGAGGCGCAAGCCATATTTTCACAACCATCGGATTAGGTATTAGAGCAACATTTCAAACATTTTTTCCTATCCCTTGACTTGACGTAGTACACAGGCTCTTGCTATAATAATGTGCTGTTGATATGTCTTCTGACAGCTGTTCAGCACTCGCGAGTCTTTGATATTTCGCTGCGGTCCTTCTACGTCTCCCCCCGCCTTATTCAAATGATAGTTCGCAGCTACTACCTTGAGATCAGATATGACGGGTCCTTCGCGTGGGGTTTGCGCGACAAGCCAATTGCAAAAGTGGAGTCATCTGCAGCATCGCCTACTACTAAAACGAGGATGCTAAAAATAGCCCTATTAGATGTCTTGGGACAACTGCTTCCTTTGTATTGCATATTTACGCAATGCCAATGTTCGATTGTTTGTGTGAAACATTGGGTATCTACATAATACACGCTGTCCACGTTCGATCTAAATATCGGTTCGACTGATGGTTCATTTGGCATTGCCATCACCATTAGAATTCTATTTAAAAGTCTCTCTTTGTGGAGCATATCGAGTGAGGTACAAAATCGAAAGTGCCATGTCCTTCAGCTGGCCCTTTTAGGATTCGTGTGGAGAGCAATCGTGGGCCAACGAGCCGCCTGATTCAGCTATGAGGAGCCGTACAGTGAGATTTCTTGCCCTGAATTTCTAGTTTGCTGTCCATTGAGATCACCGAACGCACCACGGGCAACTATATTGCCAAAGACAACAAAAAGCCTACTTTGATTAGAAGTCTCCTATTCAGCAACTGATTCCTCCTCAAGTGACCTCTTCAGCTGTCAACACTAGCAATCCCTTGTTCAATGACTTCACGCCGGATGCGACATTGCTGGCGGGATTTCAAACGAGAGAAGAGCCACATCGAGCACGAAGAGGGTTATCAAACACCTTGCAGGCTTTGCTGGATGCAGTAGTGCGAGGTGAAATGGAGGTTTTTACAGTATATTCAAGACTATGTAGTTCAAGGAAGTCAACTGAGCTCCGAATGTATTTGGATGACCATTCACATGTTAGTTTCTGCCCGTTGATCTTAATCGATAATCCATGCGAGAAGGTGCCTTCTCCCCATCGTTGTGACCGCAGTCTACCAGTACAGTCAAAGAAGATTTTAGAGCGGTTTAAGGGATCTCATACGCCACAAGAAATGTGATAGATGTGTCCGCAATCCCTTAAAGGGTCAGGAGCTTGTTAGAAGACCTTGCACGCAATCTCATAGTTTGGATAATGCGTTCAAATTACCATTGGGAAGCCTTACAGACAATCTCTTAGTCTACCTCACGTCGCCAAACTACTGCTGAGACCAGGTGCAAACAATATCTTAGTTTTTCCGATGCCATCAAACTGCATGGGAGATTGAATATATCTTGCGAAGTTCCAGTAAGAATATAGGACATGAGTTCGTTCGTCAGATCAGCCAATTTTTCGTACAAAATGATGGCTAACTTTCATCCCCGGATGGTATCTTTTGTATTTGCGTTGACGGACAATCACCTTTTGCCGGAAACGGCTGAAATAAACGAAGACTGTTCACCTGACCACGAAATCGAACAAATGATGAGGGCGAATGCATGCACTTTTCACACGATGGCGCTCTCTCACGCTATCTCTCGTGGGTGCAGTATTGATTCGGTTAAAAAGTATCTTCAACATTTTCGCCAAAATCCCGAAGAATTTGCAGAGATAATGCAACTCGGGGCACCGGTATTGTACTATGCGATTGGAAGAAACTCGCCAGAGTTATTGAAATTACTCATCGAAGCTGGAATAGGACCGAATGAACGGCAGGATGGAGATAGCATGCTGCCGCCGCTCGCATTTGCTGTCATCCATGGACATTTGCAGTCACTGGATACTACGGAGATGGTAAGGATACTTTTGGCTTCTGGTTTTGACCCCATGATTATCCCTAAACACCTGTGGGGAAAATATGTTGAGAAGCCGGAGGAAGTCTGGCCCAAGACGAAGAAAAGCATAAAGCCACTTTGGTGCGACGAAAAGATTCACCAATTACTGGCGCAAGGCTTGAATGTCAGCCAGAGGTACTATTTGTATCAAGCAAGTATCCGAAAGCCTTTGACGGCGGGGGAAACGCAACTCGCACAGATTCATAAAGCTTCAGGCCTTTTGAAGTTGCCCTATTATATGATAGGCCAACTTCCCATCATTCAAAATCTCCAGCAAACCATTTTGGGCCATCTCGATTTCCCTCAATCTCTTGTTATGGTATTTGCTGGCCCTCCAGGACACGGCAAAACCGAGCTAGCGCAACAACTAGGTAACCTACTGAACGTGGAGAGTGTGGTAGTTCCCTGCTCACAGATGGAAACGGATTTTCAGATCCTAGGACCTCATCAAGGCTATAATGGCTACAAAGATGGCTCATTACTGAACAATCACTTAGCAATGAATCACGGAAGATTCTCTGTCGTCTTTTTAGACGAATTTGACAAAACTTCAACCAAGGTATGCGACGCATTGCTGACGCTGATGTCGGAAGGTCAGTAAAGTGGAATTTTGCAATCTAGTCCTCACTGATTCATGGTAGGTGTTCACCGAGACCGGAGGAATGAAAATCCCATTGACTGTAGCAGGACAATATGGATTCTGGCAAGCAATAAAGGGGACAAAGCTATTCAGAGATTCGATCAAGGAAATCTCAAGAACATGGATGAGCCGGAGAAACTGACGGTAAGTCTTCAGCAACTCAAGCAAGAGCTAAGACAGTCTTTCAAAGGTTGCTGGGGGGTAAGATACAAGTTCTCTATCTACCGGTAAACGGGACTTGTGCGTCGGAGCTAACACACTCAGAAACCTCTGGTATCCCGCATCGACCACATATTTCCTTTTTTCCCCTTCTCTCACAGTGAATCAGCTGTCGTCGCACACAAATTTCTTCTCCAAAACGCCGCTCACCTGCGACGTGATATTGACCTAAGCGACGACGCAAGACGGCATATGGGCCACTGCGTAATAACCTGCACCGAGGATTGGAAGATTTGCAGTCATATGGCTGAAATGGGATATGATGAAGATTCGGGGGCACGAGGATTGAAAAGAGAAGCCAGGAAAATTTTGGATGAGGCGCGAAACGTTTATAATTCCATTCCTGGGGTTGTGTCAGACACGTTGAATGATGGCCCATATGAACGCCTGGAAGTTACATTGGTACCGCTAGGTGACAACTTGTATGATTACAGCGTATCACGGAAGTTGCTTGAATGAAGCTGCAGGGTTCAGGGCTGTGTGAGGAATCACGGGCTCGTGTGACCGGTGGGACCGATTGGGCAAGGAATACGAATCGTCGACCCAAATACAGGATTCCCCTCAAGGAGCCATAAGAAAGAAACTGTGGTCAGTAAGTACTGTCGTTGTTGTTGGAACTGGATGGAGTGCAATCCTGCTTCCAAGTGCGATTTGTGTACTTATGTGTTATGAGATAACGTTGCAAATTGCAAGCCTGTAATGATGGTTTATAGAGAGTATAGAGAGGGAACTAGTATGATCATTTAGATCAGAAAACTGGCTTGCTCGACTGTTACATGGCACATCTGAATCTAGGCATAGTAACTATCCGTGCGGCTAAACATAAATGCCTATTGTAGCTTTGAAGGAGGCAGTTGATAATGCTATCACGTATAATTTAGGACGTGAAAAAACATCAAAACCAATAATTTTCTGACGCTACGTATAAATAGAACAAGGGGAATAACGTTTCGGGCGGTGGTTGTGAGTACAGTAACCAGTAGGGACGGACAATTATGAGCCCCAAATCAACCTAATTTACCGTAATTAGAATATAGACATGCAAGGAAGTCACGTCTGATACCAATCCGTGTCTACAGTACCCACCTAACCTAGTAAAGAGAAATCATGAACAGCACATACTCACAAACCCCATCAATCGTCAAGCTTCAAAACACACGGAATCCACTCAAAAATCCCAAATTCGCGCGCAAAACGCCCCAAAAGCAGAGGAAAAGTAGTGCTAACCCAACAAACCAGTCGCGCCAAAACATGCCTCGGTAACTTTCACCCACACCACAGCACATCCACAGTATCAACCTCGTCTCCACAAAACAACTCCCGGAATCTTCATCGTGCCCTATCCCTTCTACCTCACAGCGCCCTGCTCTCATACATTTACCACAAAAACCCCCTCGCACAATCACTTTTGCCTCCCTGGCCCTCTCAACCAACACATTACGTCACCATGTCCTCTCCCTTCGACGTCATCGCCATCATCACCCCCAAGCCCGGTAAAGCCGACAGAGTCAGTCTTCCCCGCCAGCAGAGTCTACCACCTGCAAAACAGTTTTAGCATAGTTCTAATAGAAGCCAAAAAGGTCCAGGAACTTCTGAGCACGGCTGCGGAAGCCGTGAAGAGGGATGAGCCGGGGACGCTGAGGTATCATTTACAGCGCGAGACCAAAGGGCACGGGGTATTTGTCATGTTGGAGACGTATGTGTTTTCTTAACACTCTTTTTTTTTGGGCCTTGGGATTCTGATTGTTTTTGTTATGGTTTTGGGTGTTTTTGGTTGCTGTGTTTTTAGAGGCGTGGTTATTGGGGAGGAAAGTGGATGGCAGAAACGATAAGTGCAAACTGACATCGCTGTTTCAAGGTATGCAAACCAAGCCGCGCTCGAAACGCATGGAAAGAGCGAAGCGTACAAGGCGCTTAGCCGGGCGATGAAGCAGGAGGATTTACTCGCTGCGCCGATGAAGGTGTTGTTTACGAAGGAGGTGGCTGGGTTTGCTAGTAAACTATAGACAAGATCCAGTCATCTACACAAACAGAATTTCTTAGAGTGGAGGTATAAACATAATGCACTATATGTCTACACTTAATTTCATTCCCACTAATCGATACCGCAGTAGGCCAATTCACCATACCTAAGCTCACTGTCTAACAACCCAACCTCCCTAATCTACACAACAACCTGGCCACTCCCAAACCCACCCTCAAAATACCCCTCCAACCCTTCTACCCCGCTCCCCGTCCTATTTCCCCCCGGTTGCGGCCAGAAATCCAAAACCTCTTCCTCGCCCGTCAGACGAAACGCCACCGCCGCCAACGGCGCATTATCAACCATCAAGCTATACTCCCCAGGATACAACACCTTATTCCCCACCTCATCCACCCTCGCCAAACTCTCCAGCGTCAAGTCAATCCTCGCCGTGTCCGACGCACCAGCCGCAATTCCAAAGAGCCGTTGATACCCAACCAGAGACTTCTTGGGGTGCGGCGCCGGACCGTGGGATCCGGATATGTAGCACAGGGTAACGTAGTCGGACGCCACGGCCCCGGTATTAGTAACGCTGATATCCACAGAGGTGAAAGCGCAGCGCTCGAGCGTGATACTAGTTGCGTTCTTGCACGTCGACATTAGATCTGCAATGCGGTAGCTTTGCTGCATGGGCGAGGTGACGGTGGCGCTGAAGTTGGTGTAGTGCAAACCATGGCCAAATTCGTAGGTTGCCGTGCCGTTGTACCACTTATACGTACGTCCTGGGTTGTTTTCACTGGGTCGGAGTCCCATGTCTGTCATGGGGACGAGGCTGGTGTAAGAGGCTGGGTACTGGGTTTGTGGGAGACGTCCTGCTGGTGGGGATTTTCCAGTGAGGATGTCGACGATGGCTGGGCCGCCGTCTTGGCCTGGGTAGCCTGCCCATAGTATGGCTGAGATGTTGGCATTGTTGGCGAGAGGTGCGCTGTCGATTTGGCCGCCGCCCATGACGACGACGATGGTTGGTTTGCCGGTGGCAGCGAGTTGGAAGATGACGTCGAGTTGGGCGCCTGTCCAGGCTAGGGATGTTCGGTCGTGGCCTTCTTCTTCGATGCTGTTGTCGATGCCGCCGATGTATATCAGAATGTCGCTTGTGGCTATTGCACCTGAGAGCGATGACCAACGGTTGGTGGTTGGGTCTCCTTGGCCACCTGGATTACCGCCTGCATAATTAATGGTGAGGTTTTCTTGTTGAAGCGCCCATAATGGGGAGTGTAGATATGTTGGTACACCAGCGTAGTTACCTGAGCGGTTAGACTGGGCATAGAAGTGCAAGAAAACATAGCAAACATACCGAGAAGCTGCGAAGTAGCATTCGCCCAATCTCCAAAGACACCCAGACTCACGGATGAGTCAATGGAAAGCGGCAATACCCCATCGTTCTTCAACAGCACGATACCCTCCACAGCAGCCCTACGAGCCAGAGCCTGTGAGGCATCCGTAGCAACCGAGTCCCACCCAAACTGACGATACGGCTGATCGGCCGCATCATCGAACCAACCCAGACGAACAAGCGAAGAGTACTGTCGGACCAACGCCTGATCCAGCACATTCTCATTCACCAGACCCTGCGCAAAAGCGCCAGGCAGATGTTCCTGCATATACGTACCACAATCAAGATCGGTACCCGCAATCAGCGCATCAGCCACAGCCTGCTCACGAGTCGCGGACCACTGGTGTGGTAGATAGATATTCTGAACCGCATCGCAGTCAGAAGTGACCCATTGCTCTTCATTAGTCCATCCCCAATGCTCGCGAAGAATTGTCTGCAGTAGATAAGGATCCGCACATGTTGGTACACCATTTACTGCATCTACAATGCGCTATTAGCTACATCGTATTTCTCAATTGCGAAAAAGGGGTAACCCTTACTATACGAGCACATGAAGGCGCCAACGTTAGCCTGCACACACGCCTGGAAAGGCTGTAAATAATACTCCACGAGATCCTGCTGCGAGATCTGCGCATCGAATTGGTACCGCAAGTTCCCATTCCAGTCTTCAATGTCATACCCGGCAAAGTGCTTGCAAGTCGCAACAACCCGCTTATACGGATCTGTGGTCTCGCCCTGCAACCCGGCAATCAGCGCTTTCACATACGAAGATAGATGAAACGCATCTTCGCCCGGCGTCTCCTGACCCCGGCCCCATCTCGGGTCTCGAAAGGGATTGATATTGGGGGTCCAGAAGTCGAGGCCAGTTCTATTAGCATTGTTGAAGGCTCGAGCTTCGGTGGAAATGACTTTCGCAACATCGGTGATGAGGTGGTCATCAAAAGCTGCACCCATTAAGATAGGCTGAGGAAAGGAGGTCGAATAGCTGTATTCGATGCCTGAGGTGCTAAAGTTGGTGTAGGGTCCTGCAATGCCGTGGAGTCCTTCTGACCACCATTGATAGGGTGGGATTCCGAGACGGGGAACACCCGGGGACCCAGAGGATGTCGCATTGATTTTTTCTTCCAGGGTATAGAGGGTGACGAGAGATTTTGCTCTATCAAGTGGTGCTACATAAACTCAGTCTTGCTCTATTCAATTCAACCCGAAAAGCGGACTCACAGGCTGATGTATTGCATATCGTTTCAGTCTGCAACGGCCCGTTCTGGCAATCCGGAAACACAGCCAACACCCCTGTCACCCAAATCAACGGCTGTAGAAGTCTTGGTGAGGTATACATGACTTTCTTGCCACATGTGAATCTTCCACAGCTCCCAATCACTCTTATAGCAATCTAAATAGCCGTCAATCCCGCTGCAGATCCTATCCGCGGGGTCGCCTTGCATTTCTTACACGTCATATCTCGTGGTATATGCGGTTGAACATCGGGATCCCGTCAATAAGGAACGCTATATCCGACCATCGTATCCCGGACGTTGTACCAGCCACAGCCGTTGCTTGATGCTGTTTGGTTGAAGCAAAGCCAATGCACAGGATGTCAAGTCAATACCCAAGGCGCATGCGCAACCCCCAATTTTTGAGGTCAGGCTGCGAGAGTAAAGGAAGTTTAGTGGAGACATATCAAGTATGATTGGTGGGGAGTTCAGCCTGAATGGGCAAGTGTTGTGCTTCAGGTGTTAAGCTGCGTGAAGTTCGGGGCGGCGATGCTTGATTACGCTTACAATCTTCAATGAAAGACTAGTTCCATATCCCCATGGGGAAAATTGGCTTGTTTTTAGATAGAACCTTGAGAGATGTGTTATCTGTAGTTTGATCGTATCGGTTTGAAAATAGCCTCGCCACTACTACCTTTGATACACTATCGAAGGAGCCAACGTCACCAGGAAAACAGCCATGGATCTCAAGCCCAACAAGACTGGATGATGCGAAGAGGGCACTTTGCTATCATTCGTGGCTCAATAATTACTCGTTTAAAAAATGATATCTCCGCTGAGGGTTAAACGGCAAAAAATCGCTTCTGCGCCGCCCAATGCATTCCTGTACAGCAAATAAAAGTCCACACCACAGTGATCCATCATGACGGCGTCATCTCCTCGTTCTTCCAACGCCGATAGACTGCCTCCCAGCCACCAAATTCCCTCTAGACCACATCAAGTCTTTAATCCCTTCTCCAAAGTCCGCGCATCTGCGTAATACTGATCGTCCTCATATCTGAGGACTCGTACCGTCACCCTCCATCCTCCATACCATCCCCCGTCCCGCCACTGTCATCTTCCTCATCCCCTGTATTGTCATGATATGTTAGATCATCGCTCATAATATGCAATATTTGACTGAAAGTCCTGCTCTTCCAGCGTCCCATGCCCTCCATGAGGTCCGCGCAGTGCAACAAGGTACGCCGAGCAGCGAGGTAACCTGCTTCAAGCGCGATGCCGGTGATGCTGAAGTTACCTCCACGATTGATGAATGTAAGCACTGCAGCAGTGGCAGGAGATGAGCAGGCGGCGGAAGAGTAGATGGGTGAGGTTGGAGCGGCATGTGATGTGAAACCTTGCTGGCCAACTGATATCCAGTCGACAAGATCGAGAAGTTCGACACATGGTGTGTCAGCCATGTTAAGGCAGAGTTCGTTGGAATGACCGTTGGTTAGATCAGGTGATAATGGAGGGAGCGTAAAGATGTATAGGCCCAAGACGAGGGCAGCATGGAAGAGAGCGACGACGCTATGTGGGTTCACAATGTCGCTGACTTTGCGGTCGAAAAGTAGTTTGTAGATGTGTGCAGCGTGGAGCACGGCACGACGGGCAGAAGGCGTTTGCGACCATGACGAGATATCTTCGAGAGCGTTGACAGCTGGTTCAGGACCAGCGCGGCCTGCTGCAAGTTCAAAGTATCGCATATTGGCTCCCAGGAACATACAGGATGCATGCCATAGGACAGCCGAGTTCAAATCGGCGGTTCTTAGTGCATCGATAGACGAGGACGACAAGTTGACGAGGAGTGGTAGGATATCGCGGCTTCGCGCGTCTTCAGCATATATTCGCCATGGCTCCAACTGCTTTTCTGGGCCTGTGGCACTTGCGAGTCTGTCATTTGATTCGTAGATTCGTAGTAACAAGAGTGTTAGTAGGCTGCGAAAGCTGCTCGGATCGAACTTTAAACCGGGTGTGGGATGGAATGATGGAGTGATCTTGGTAGAGTAGACGCGTGTGCCTCGGTGTACGAGATGAGCCCATTTAGTGGCAGAGTTGACATGATAGAGACTGTAGTCCGAAGGGGGTAGTATCTGCACAGTTTCGGGGCGAATCATAGGGGAAGTCGACAGGTAGCCCGCCCACCAGCAGTCGGCTTCGACGATGCCGAAGATGATACTATAAATGGTCAGCCGACGTGTATACGGACGACGGAAAACGCCTACCGTTTTGCACATTCGATTTTCGACCAGGCTCGCCATTTCGATTCGATATCGATAATTTCATCTAGAAGTGTATCGATCTGTGTGGTCTCGTTGACGGACAGTAGCCCTTGGGTTTGCGCGACCTAGATATGTAAGCAGAAGCATCAAATAAGCCTCGTTGGCGAACCCACCGTCATTAGCTCTGCGTACAGCTTATCCGCCTGTGCAATGCGACTCTTGCGCTACAACGGATTAACGAAAGCATGCACAATTTTACGGTCCTGACTTACCCCTGTGATGGATGCCAGGCTAAGAGCAAGTAATCCCGTAGCTATGATGCGCATTTGTCGATGGGGTGGATGATCTGTTGCTGATAATGATTGTAACTCTGTGAGCGCAAGTTGGAGTACAGCCTGCTCATGATTAGTATTGGCACAATTTCAAGTCAAAATTACTTACTGGGAATGTCCGTGCGACAAATTTGGCTGCGCCGGCTGTGCCCAATATGCTCAGTCCGATTAGACACATGCAGAGCAATAGTGATCTTGGAGCGTTCTTCGCTGAGAACGATGGAATGTGTATGATGGGTAAAGTAGGGTGAAAGTAGTAGAGATACATCTCTAGCGCAATGTCTAATATTTCAGCTGGCGGGAATTGAACTCCGTCCGCGCTCGGACTACCCACAGCTTCCCCACTGGATGAAGCTGTGTCGCCGTAAGATTCAGATCTCGTTGGTAGTATTTGCGGTATGTTGTTCATTGCGCTTTGGAGCACACTCCTGCATTCCTCGTCAACCCCCCATCGCGAGTTTTTCCGTGCTTTTTCACTCATCGGTGCCTCTGAGGCCCTACTGGGGAGCTCTGACAGGATGTTTGCGCAATCGGCCATGATCAGATTTTGCCACAGATCCGGCATCAGTTTCGAAGTCTTCTGGCTCCTTGACGGCCAGCAGCTTTGTACCCGCTGGAACCTTTCTCGCGGTACTCTGCTTGCTATTGATACGCTGCTTCCAGATGGGCTAGGCTCGTTTTCCGGTCCTGCACGGGAGAAATTGGGGTCGAAGAAACCGTCAACTCCTAGGTGTTGCGCGCCATGTGGTGTCTGCATATCGCCTTCCAGCGGGAAGAGCCAAGTTTGTAGGGCATCCGCTGGGGTTCGATTTGCTACAGGATTGTTGCTTTGGACCAGCTCAAATGCCCACTGATCGATTCCAGCGGGCGAAAAATTCAATACGTCCATTGTAGGATCAATGGGAGGTCCCATATTCTCATGATTATGCCGGTTCGCAGGCTGATGTGTCTCTGCACGGCCAATGATCATAGGCGATGGTGAGCGCCATGGCGTGTCCGAAGGTTCGAGTTGCTGCGCCGCGTTGATGAGCGCTTCTATTCGATCTTCCCCAGGAGTTGGTGGTTGTAGTTTGGACGATTGGCGAGTATGCGAAGCGGGAGAGACGTGTGGATTATATTGGCCGGCAACGTTGATTTGTGGGACTTGAGAGTCTCTTCTATGATCCATCGGCGAGAACTGGGTATCTTCCCGAATCTGCGGAGTTCCTGCTGGGGTTTGGCCTGTTCCTTTGCGCGAAGGTGCCGGTCCAGAGTCCTGAGAGTCGTCGAGGGTGTTGTGGTGGTAGTCCTGCTCTTGATTTTGTTGTTCGTTGCTCCTCGCTCGGTTCAAGGCGGTTTGTGCATGTCCTTTGCAATGGCGAAAGAGAACGTCACTGCGATGAAAGTTGGAACGGATGGTGCAGGATAGCGGGGAGATGTCTGCTTACCTTCGAGAGAAATGTTTCTTGCATGTCGGGCATTCATACGGTCGTTCACGTGTGTCTAGCATGACCGTCAGTCCAGGCATCAAACGACAATACCATCATTAGCATACGCGACCTCTCGTGTCTCTTGACCTAAACAGTACAGAAAGTGTCAGTGGGAGTATTTGTGAGCGATGCGTTCGCGTGGGGGTTACGAACGTGCTCCAGCTTGGTGAAGGTCCGGTCGCACATGCTGCACTGCTTCAACGCCATGGTGGGGAGGGATCGCGATCACAGCGCAAGACGTCTCCAATGTGCTTCGGCAGGCGTCGCAGGGTCGTAGATTGTCGTTGAGTGAATGAGTGACCGGACGCGGGACCGGAGGTTGCTGGCATGCTTCTTTGCTGCCAAGAAGATCGGATGCGGGGGAGAGTACGACCATGACTCGGTGATAGGCTAGGCTGCTTTGCTCTCACACTTAATCATTCATCTGGAGAACGCATTTATACCCGTCAGGCTCCGCTTCAGATTGCGGTGCCTGCATATCGGGCCTTGTCTGTTCGACCATTGATGTTCGTGATGGCCACCTACTCTACTTGTCGATACCTACTTGTCATTGCCACCAGCCAACATGAGGGCCATGGTTCTATGTAGCCAGCCACAACTGGGCTCCAAACTCGGTCGTTCAGGCTGACGCGGCTAATCTTTGTTCACACAGCCTCGATGACTGCACAATCGGCCGAGACTTTTTTTCTTTTCTCTCCAAAAGATCTGACCAGGTGACCGCTTTTGCTACAAGGTCGAGACTTTTGTGCTGTGCCAACCCCGAAAGCTAGCTGGGAGGTTGAGACTTACCCTAGTGGGGCACTGTTCTGAATGCTGACCTTGCTCTCATTATCGAGTGTTCCATTCGTCTCATCTAAGAGAGGACAATCTGGCTGAGTCTAGCGCACTATGTAGATCTGTAATCAAACCTACTTTGGAACGGGGTACAGTACATTCACCATGGCCGTTTCATGTGCACTCGGATATCCGGGTAGTCCTCACGTGGCCAAGACCAATTTATGGTTCTGGGAATGGCATCAAGGCATGCACAATCGCATACAGGCATACAGATGTGCACATGTGGACTGGTGATTGTATTACTTGGCAAGCACCGACAGCACAGTCCAGGAGGTGTCAGCGGGCGCACGTAATGCAGCTCGTCATCTCCTGACGGCCCAGAATACGAACAGATCGTAATATTTGAAAATTACGAGAAGCGCCCAGGCAATAACAAGGCCGTCCCTTGAAAAGAAACTTTCTACCGACAGGATGACCGACTATGATACAGAGGGTTAGTAACTTCTCGTCAATTTGTTACGATTCGAATCATCCGCCTTGAACGGATTGAACCAGTTGTCATGTACGGTGTTTAACCCACTTGCCACGGCTCCGTGATGTGGACAAGTCAGATCTTCTGGATACCATGCATGGTACAGACTACACGCCGTATACATATTTCACTCCATTGCAGATTCTGGCCTGCATGTTCTACAATTCACGCCTGATAACTTGATGATTCGAAAAAGGTGAAAGAAGGAAAAGGCACTTTCACGCTGAAAATACGAGCAAAACCCAGGTTATAGCTTTGCAAAATTCTGCTCCAAAGATCTGCATCATCTGCTCATGAAACCGATCAAGGGTAAGAAGTATATGGTCTGTACTCATAAACAGTCCTCAACAAAACCACTCCTAGGTATCCCCCTTCACCGTTCAAGCAACCCTAGCGAACAAATCCACGACCGCAGAATACACAACCAACAGTATGCCTCCTCCAGGCCCAAACCTTAATATCTTAGCCACATACCCCTTATACAGCGCCCGGAATCCTTCTTCCCTGTACACAACCCCCAAACTAGGCCACACCCACTCGTACTTGCCCTGTACCCCTTGCACCCTCGCCACACTCTGAATCCGACTCTTGACCACATCCAACGGCGTATTGAACGTCGTGCCCACCACACCGCCCACAAATCCCGCGCTCAAATCATTCACCGTCTTCTGGCGCCGCGGATTCCGCGTCTCGCTGGGCGAGGGCAGTTGCTGTCGCACCTGGAAGATGCAGCCGAAGTAGCCGGCGTTCCAGACGATGTGACGCCAGAGCGTGGCTTCGAAGCCGTTGTAGAGGGCGAGGGGGCCTTCATGGCGGATTACTTTGGTGAGGCAGTCGAGCAGCCCCGTGTAGCGGGACGAGGAGGTTTTGTCCTGTAGTCGGATTTTTAGGAGTTCGAAAGGGACGACGATGAGGGATTCGGTCGCGCCTGCGCTGGCGCCGGTGAGGATAGCGAGGGGTTGGGTGAGGGTTGGGGTGGAGAAGAGGGATTTGTAAAAGGGGGTGAAGGAGTCGTTGGCGGAGAATTTGATGGCTCTGGAAAGAGAGTTAGTTGAACTTGCCTAGGTGGATTGGTATTCTGGAGTATTTCGTGTAGGCAATGTGAAGATGCTTTGCGGCTCATGTATCTATATCTTACCTTTTTGGGACTTCCATAAGTACAGGCGCAGTGATCCCACGATATAACCTCAACGCCCCTTCATTCTTGATAATCTTGCGGAAACAGTCCAGTACACCCGTGTAACCCTCACCGCCAACAGCCGTCCCATGTTGAAGCTGTATACGCGTCTTGACTACATCGAGAGGATACCTGTTCTACACTCTTAGTATCGACTTCCAAAGTTACTTGACCAAACGCAAAACTCCCAAAGTCTCCAAACAGCTAAATCATTGAACGAAACAAAAACAATTGGAATAAGCTCACATCAACAATATCTCCGACACACCAGCAACAGCACCGGCAGCAAACTGATACCGAAAAGGCAACGCCTTTGCCTTGCCATCATCCGTCATACCTACCCAAACTCAACAACAGCAAACAAGACAATAAATATCGCAACACTTCCAAAATATAGATGGCCACACGATTTGAATCAACCGCTCAATTCACTGAATACCGTCTATCAACAACAAGCCCACCTTCATACTAACCACACGAACCCCGCTAAGCCATTCATCATTTCCCAATTCCCATCCACCACCACAACCCACAACCCAACAACCACATACACGACTGCCGCATTACACCACCCCTCTCTCCACCACCACATACTCACCCACACCCCCTTGCCACCCTCCCTCCCTCCCTCCTGTCAACTCACATCGGCGCATGGCACCGCACCGCACCCCTCCCCCCATCAACCCCGGAGACCCGTGGATGCAGGTTATGCAAGGGGGAAGGCGCCACGTTCGGGCTTGCTCGAGTCAAAAAGGGTATGGATGTGGGGCGCAGGATCGGACATCGGATGTGGGGCTAGCGTGGCCGAGCAGCTGGGTTTGTGGGACGGAGTGGGGTGTGGGGCTAGTGGAAGTGTGGGGGGAATCGTGGATGCAGGGGAGGGTGAAGGGATGGTCATGTGAGGACGTGAGGACGTGTTTCGCGTTTCAGTGGTGGGTGTTGCGTTGGATGGCATTGTAGGTTTCTTCTCATCTATCCAGCTCATTGGAATAAAAATACACAAAGTCCATGGCGAGGAGGAGGAGGAGGATGCGACACTGTCCAACACACCAAAATCCCTCCCTCTACGCAACAACCCCCTTCTCCCTCAACCCCGCAATCTCCGCCTCCCCAAGCCCCAACATGCCCCCCAACACCTCATCCGTATGCTCGCCCAGCAACGGCGGCGCACTCCGTATCCGCGGCTCCACGCGCGAATACTTGACCGGGTGATTCACCAACTTGACCGTCCCACACGCCTTATGCGCAACCTCCTCAATCATGCCGCGCGCAAGCACATGTTCGTGCTCCATGGTCGCCTTGATATCGTTGACAGCCGCATACGGCATTCCACTGCCGTCAAACACACGGAGCCAGTGCTCTGTCGTCTGCGTCTGCAGTCGCGCCTCGATGAGCGCGTCGAGCGTGTCGCGGTGTTTGACGCGCAGGGCGTTTGTGAGGAAGCGGGGATCGGTGGCCCATTCTGGTTTTCCGAGTTTCTCGCAGAGGATGCGGTAGAGGCGGTCGTTGCAGCCGCCGACGGCAATGTTTGTGTTTTTGGTCTTGTAGGCCCGGTAGGGGACGACGGTGGCGTGGGCGGTGCCCCAGCGGCCGCTGTCGCCTTTGCCCGTGACGAGCGCGCTCGAGGCAATGTTGGCGAGACTGGCGACTTGTACGTCGCTGAGGCTGGCGTCGATGTGTTGGCCGAGTCCTGTGGTGGCGCGCGAGAAGAGCGCGGCTTGGATGCCAATGGCTGTGTACATGCCCGTCATGATGTCGGTTACGGCGACGCCGACTTTTACGGGCGGTCCGTTGCGCTCGCCGGTGATGTGCATGAGGCCCATTTCAGCTTCGACCATGACGTCGTAGCCGGCGCGGTTGCTGTAGGGGCCTGTTTGGCCGTAGCCCGTGACGGAGGCGTAGACGAGGGAGGGGTTGAGCACGGAGAGGGTGGCATAGTCGAGGGAGTATTTGGCGAGGCTACCTGGGAGATAGTTTTCTACTAGGACGTCGCATTGTTGGACGAGTGAGTGGAGAAGGGAGATTCCGGACGGGGTGTTGAAGGCGAGTCCAACAGACTTTTTGTTGCGGTTTACCTGGCTTTTGATCAGTACCGAATTCCTGGGGATTGTAAAGGGACAGTGAAAAGGACGTACAGAGAGATAGTATGCACTCTCACCCGGAAATGCCCGCTCAACACCATCAGTATAAGGCAAATCTGGTGGCCCCCATGCTCGCGTATCGTCGCCTCTCGTAGGATGTTCAATCTTGATAATTTCCGCACTATAAACGCAGGTCAGTTCCACTGCTAAACACTGTAATACTTTGAACTTCCACATACCCAAGATCCCCAAGTATTTGCGTACAATATGGCTATCAAATTGTCAGCTTCCACTAGATTTCCAACCTTAGAAAAGACCATATATATAACTCACCCCTGCAAGCACCCTTGTCATATCCAACACCTTGATACCAGCCAACGGCTGCTTCTCAACCAATTTCTTATCCACATGCTGCTGTGTTGCCAGATACCGTCTGCAAACACTATTCGGCCTCTTCTGCGCTTGTATGCATGTAGCCGCGCCGCGTAATTGCAATTGCGTTGGCAGTCGTGTTAGGGATCTCAGAGAATTCATATTTGCGCTGGTACTAGATCCATGATTGCAAACAAAAACGTCATTGTTAAAGATTAAAGAGCCCCCAGTAGTCGCGTTTCTGGCGAAGTTACGCCCCACATGAAGCTCTTTGTGGGGTCCAGGGTTCTTCTGTTTGGCACGGTATGCACAGACGATGTACCGGTACGCTCTTTGTGGAATTTTTTGTTTTTTTCCCAAGTTTTGATAGGGCAAATTGCGAGCTATGTTGACGTTGAGAGAATCGACGGATTGATAATTATCGTGTATGTACATGTTGTCCTGGCAAAATCATGAAACGCTTGCTTGATATGGTATAGCCAAAAAGCGAACGACGGCGGCAATCTACCTAATGGCTCTAAATTCCGGCGACGACACTGTTCTAAGCAGCTGCGCCCTTCATACCGTTGGCACCATTGACCTTGGAATCGTGGCGCAAGTAGGGTTCCAATTCCTCACTGTGAACACCAGACGTGTCACTCGTATTGGCGCCATGTGAAAAGCCGCCAAAGTAGTAGGGCGCAAGTCGTCGCTTCTCTGCAATGGCATCTTCCTTGGTGCGAGCAAGAAGCTCTTGTGCCCTCTTATTTGCGGAGAATCGGTCCTGGGAGCAAATGTTAGCAAAGTCCATTAGGTATCTACAGGGAGAAAGCGCCTGGGATCTTCATACCGGGAGAGCTTCCCACACTTTGTAGTTTGTTCCGTGCTCATCAATGACGCCGCACCCTTTGCGAGCCCACTCGGTCCAGAGGAAAAGTCGACTCGATTCAATCATGATGGTGAGTTGCTCTAGAGTTGCGTCTCAGTATGTCGCGATATGCAAAGACAGTAGCTGCAAACTTACCGGTCAGAATTTTCTCAGGCTGGCTCTCGTGTATCCGCATGCCGTGCTGGTAGCCCTCGTGGAAACCACCGTGAGGTGTGTGGCCGCCCTCGAAGCTTCCTCCACCGGGCTGGAAATCGTCACTGCGCCCAAGACCCTGTCCATACAAACAGGCTAGGAACTCGGATGCGGAGTTGCGGTGGAAGTATGGCAATCGGAAAGTGTTGGTTGCGACATCCCAACGAGGCCCAAACCAGAGGAAATCGGCCAGTGGTGTCAATGGGTCACGAGACTTGGCAGTCAAAACTGTGAAGATGGAAGGATCAGTGTGGTCGATCGATGTGCTGTTCTGGGAAGAGAACTTGGTAAGGTCGTATTTGTAGGGCACCACATTTCCGTGCCATGCAACGAGGTCGAATGGACTGTGATCTTGCTGTATCGCGACCAATTCGCCATTGATCTTATTGACAATCTGCCAGTCGACGTGCAGGTTGTCGTCTATAGCAGCGACCGGATACAAGAAGTCGCGCGGGTTTGCAAGACCATGGCCTCCGAGAGGACCTAGATCAGGAAGCTCCCACATAGATCCCCAGACTTCAGTGATGTAGCCTCGGGCAACTTTGGTATCTGGTGCGAGGTTCATGCAGAATCTAATGCCGCGCTGAATCACACAGATCTCGCCGGGTTGCAAAAAGATCTTGCCCATCTCTGTCACAATGTCCAGAGTACCGAGCTGTGCGCAAATGAGGAAGTCTCCATCGGCATTGCAGAATGCGCGTCGCTCCATGCTCGAGTTGATCATGTAGACATATAGGGCCAGACCCTCGCGAATATTTGGGTCACCACTACCAGCAAGGGTATGTAAACCATTCGCAAAGTCAATCTTCTCTTCCTCCTTGGGCAAAGGAAAAGGTCTCCATTCTGCTTGCTCTGGTAGCGTTGCAACCTTGGGGTTAAGAGACAAGAAGCAGTTCTGGATGTTGGATTTTGATTCAAAAGGGACATAACCATCTAGATGGGTTAGTCAAGAGCCTACTTCGTTTGGCACACTTGACTTACTGTGAGCAGCCGCAGGCCGGCAGCGATACATGTATGTACTATAGTTGTGTGCACGTGGAGCAGCGAATGCTGAGTATGTGATGCCCTCTGTGTATAGACCGAAGCGGACTTCCTGAGGGTTGTTCTGGGCAACAGGAAGTGTTCCCGGAATCACTTCTGACTGGTGTCGGTTTCCCCATCCTGCTTGATAGTTATATGGATCATTGGCACGTGTCGGCTTCAGTCTTTGGAGGTCGGTGAAATGGAATGCTTTCTGAGGGTCCGTGACAAGCTGGCGTTCCTTGAAGTCTAGCATGATGGGGGTGTTTTGAAAAAGGTCGGAATGTCTGGTCAGTATTTGTTCATGCGTTCAGTGATCAGTGGAGGTTTATATCAAAGTAGGGTCAACTGCAAGTTATTAGCGCCATATCTGCCGCTGCTAGGGTGTGAGGGTTGTGCATCATGTGGTGGCGGGGCCCGGTCCCAGTACGGCGGGGGTGTCAGCGCCGGGAAGTGGGCGAAGGTCGTTCTCACAGGCCCACAACAAGTGGATGTACGTCTAACCCGGGTTAGTGGGCCGTGGGTGATGAATGTGTTGCAACCCCATATGTTCCTGGCTCATCAAGTGGCGAACACATGGGTTTCATTGCGGGGTTCTTAATTGCACATGCCGAAAGTTTAGTCTGGCCGACTAACTTGGAGCCATTCAATACTGTGTACGTAAGATGTAGATTTGGATGCCTTCCATGTGAAAATAGCATTGGAACTTTATTTCGATTTTGATCATGTTATGTTTATCTTGACGCGGCGAGGACCTCGTCCACCATGAGCCCACACGATCCAAGGTAATTCTTCGCGTCACACAACGAAGCCAGCTGTTCGCTGGAAATCTTGTCTGTGATCTCCGATTTGGTTTGCAAAGCATCCAGAAGGCTGGTGTCATTCTCGATGCTCTCTTTGCATGCTGCATACACAATGTCATGTGCTTTGGACCTACCAACGTGCGGCGCAAGGCCCATCATTACTGCTTCCGCCACTATGAGTCCGCGTGTCGAGTACAGATTCGTCAACATCTGCTTGGAATTCACAACCAGCCCAGAGAGTGCGAAATCGGCTTGATAGAGTGCACCAACTGCGATGACGAAGCTCTCTGGTACCGCAACCCACTCAAGATGCCAAGGACCTGATGCGCGCTCGAAATCTGATACCATGCCGTCCAAAACGAGCCCAGCATTCGATCGCAGAATCTTTGATGCCGCTAAGACGACCTCGCTCGATATGGGATTTCGCTTCTGCGGCATCGTAGACGAGGCGCCACGGTGGGGTACAAAAGGTTCCGAGACTTCTGAGAGCTCATTTGAGGACATGATGATGATGTCGAGAGCCAATTTGCCGAGCGTACCGCCAACGAGCGCAAGATAGTTTGTAATCTCAGCGACTCCGTCGCGTGCAACGTGCCAGGTGATGGGAGGATCAGTCAAGCCAAGGTCCTTTGCCATCTCCTTTCGCACGCGAATGCCATCGTCGCCAGAGCCCAGCGAGGCCAAGGAGCCTGCAGCTCCGCCAAACTGCACCATGAGCGCACGCGGCTTGAGCTGCTCAAGTCGCTCGAGATGACGCTGGAAGCTGGACAGCCAAATCGCACACTTATGCCCAAAGGTAATTGGCAAGGCGTGTTGCAGGTGGGTGCGTCCGGCCATTGGCGTATCGCGGTGCTTTCGGGAGAGGTGTTCGAGGTTCTTGATGACAGAGCGAAGTGTTCGCTCCACAATCTCGAGGCCCTGCTTCATTTGCAAGATGCTGGCGAGATCCATGATATCTTGAGTAGTTGCGCCCCAATGCACATACCGTCCAGCCTCGTCGCCGCATGATGCAGATAATTGTCGTACCAAGGGAAAGATGGGGTACCCGACAATCTCGGTTTCCGTGCGCAGCTTGTCGTAGTCCAGTTCCACCTCGTTCGCTTTCGAGGTCACCACATCGCCAATGTGAGGTGGTATCACATTGCACTTGGACTGTGCTCTAGCCAAAGCCGTTTCTGCATCAACACATCGATTAATGTAGGCTTTGTCGTCGAAGACCTTGCGAATTTCCTCTGTTCCAAAAAGAGTCCTGAAGATGACAGAATCAATGGCACTCACACTGCCCAACGAACGTCGCTGACAGCGGATAGTGGCCAGACGCGGGACAAGACGCAGTGGGGCGCGACGCAGTAGGAACATTATCAGTAAGAGAATAGGACAGGACAGAACAGAATAAGGAAATCTCAGGAGACAAGAAGTGGGAAAGCGAGGCCAAATAGCCGCCACATTCGATACAAAGACGCATCACGGCTGTCGGGCGGTGTACCTACGTGTGGGACCTCTCGTGTGGCTGCGTGGTGTCGTGTGGGGAGCATTGCCGGCCAGTGGAACCCTTGTTGGTTGTTGGACGTTGAACCCAGACGCGGTAGTTAGGGATCGATGTCACGTGTTCACGTGTTCGATGAGGGCTTGGCAGTAGCGCGGGGCACACGTGTCAAGCTCCTCCACTTGCCCATCATCACACACACATTCACTGCATCGCTGTATCACCACATCAACATGTCACCTCTATTAGCATTCCAGACTGGCATGATCATCTGGTGTCTAACAAGATTACATTTACTGCATACAATGCTAATGCTCAACATTCGCGAACGAAAAGCGAAGCAACACCCTGTCCAGTGCTCGCGCACATGCTAACCATGCCAATCTCCTTGTCCTGTCTTTGCAATTCTGCAAACAGTGTTGCTGTCTGGCGCGCGCCTGTGGCTCCAGTAGGATGTCCAAGAGCAATCGCTCCTCCATTGGGATTGACCTTTTCCTCGTCCAGACCCAATGTGCGGATGCACGCGATGGTTTGGCTCGCAAACGCCTCATTCAACTCAATCACGTCTACGTCTTTCAACTTCACGCCCGTCCACTTCAGGAGCGCAGGTATAGCATAGATCGGACTGATACCCATTTCGTCAGGTGCACAACCTTTGACTTGTGTGCCCACAAAGCGACCAAGTGGCTTCAGCCCACGTTCCTCTGCCCATGACCTCCGCGCCAGTATAGTGGACGATGCGCCATCTGAGATTTGAGATCTGATCACATAGTTAGCCTGATGTTAAGGACCAAGGCACCAAGGGGGACGTGTACGAGTTGCCGGCAGTGCTTTTCCCATCTTCACCAAACACGGGTTTGAGCGATGATACTTTCTCAAATGTCAGGCCGTGTCTGATGCCGTCGTCTTTGGTGACTTCGAATCCTGCAAGCTGTCCGGTTGCCTCGTCAATTCGTGGGACAGTGATGGGAGCAATCTCCCAATCGAAACGGCCTTCTGTTTGGGCTCGACTTGCACGGCTGTGACTTCTTACTGCATACTCGTCTTGCGCTTTGCGGTCCACCTTGTAACGCGTCGCTACATTCTCCGATGTTATACCCATGGACATGAGACAGTCGCGTGCATCTTTGACGTCTGAACCCAAAAGCGTGGGAGACACATCAGTGGGGACACCTCGAGAGCCATAGTTTCGCGACATGCTTTCGACACCTCCGGCAAGTCCTACATCAATCTGGCCAACCATGATGGCATGTGACAGATGAGTGATGGCCTGTAAACTGCTTGAGCACTGGCGGTTGACCGTGTGAAATGTGGTCGAATTGGGAAATCCAGCGTGGTTGAGCGCCATACGTCCTGTCTTTGCGAATCCAAGCTCGGCCAGCACATTCCCGATCATTGCGTCGTTGACATCTTTGGCCTCAATCTGAGCACGCTGGACGGCTGCTTTCATGATCTGCCCAGATCAGTCCATACCATTCATCACCCATTGACTGACTAGGCAAGCTTACTGGCATCAAAATATCTTCGGGATGACAGTCTTTATATCCACCCTTGAAGCTTCGACTGATTGGTGACCTGACGGCAGAGAGTAGAACAACATCGTTCGGACTCTTTTGCAACACATTTTTTGCTACTCTGCTAAAAGTCGCCATGTTTCGTAACGATAGGATCCGAAGCTACACAGTAGGCGACGCATCATTCAAGACTATCACCCAGGTGTTACCCGGAAAAGGTAGGGCCTGTCGCCTCACGGCTGTGGATGGGTGTAGTGGCGGGGCGCGGAGCCCTTGTGTGTGGGGCGCCATTGGACCCCTCCATGACGACGCAACGAAACACAACTCAATAGGTACGCCCGTGGGAGTTCCGAATTCATCTGGAGCATCTGCATGCGCATACTACTTCGGCCATTACTTACGAACTGGAATCATTCCATCATCCTACGGACACCATTTTCCACCATGGCGCTTCCAAACAAGTATCAGAATGGCAGCATTGACTCGGCAGTCAAGGGTGTATATCGTGCGTCACCTGTGAAGCTCATGATATATGGCAATGGTAGGCATTCATTGCACAACTCTTATCATATTAGGTACTGAATATCTTAGGCACAAGCAACCAGCTCTCTGATGTTATTGCTGAGCTTGGAGCAACAAAGGCCTTTATCATTACTGGTCGATCATTGTATGAGAAGACACCAGTGATCAAGAACATTGAGAAGTCGCTGGGTTCTGCACATGGTGGTACTTTCAGCAAAATCGGACAGCACGCGTAAGACAGAATCAGCACCTCAGAATACGAAAACTGACATACAATAGGCCAATTGGAGACATTCGCGAAGCCACAGCGTTGATGTCAAAGTCTGGATGCGATGTCCTCATTGCAATAGGCGGTGGATCTCCTATTGATTCCGCAAAGGCAATCGCATACAATATACATCAAGAGACAGGAAAGTGGATACCTAGTATCGCAGTGCCTACGACACTGAGCGTGGCGGAGACCACGCAGAATGCTGGCTTCACGACAGAAGAGAAACATAAGATTGCCGTCAGCCATCCCGAGCTAGTACCTAAAGGTGAGATACAGTAACTCGTCATCGTCAGAGACGCGATTAATGTAACTCAGCTGTTGTGTATGATGGTGAAATCGCACTATATACGCCATTGAACCTTTGGACTAGTACGGGAGTATGTCCAAGCACCACCAAGGCATACAGATAATGATTACTGACATTGAGCAGATTCGATCGTTAGATCACGCAGTCGAGTTAATGTACCATCCACTTGCTGCCGAGATTCCCACAAAGCGCATGGCTCTGGAAGCCATCAAAGACCTCTTCACCTACTTGCCCCAATCGAAAGCAGAGCCGGATAATGCCGAAGTGCGCACAAGACTGTTCCTTGCGTGTTACTCTTCGCTCTTCCCTTTCCTGTACACTGGTGGCGTTGGCCTCAGTCACAGCATTGGCCATGCGATAGGCGCAACCTACAGTATCCCACATGGCATAACCAGTTGTTTGAGCTTAGCGCCCACGGTACACTTCAAAGCTAGCAACCCTGAGGAAGCGAAGCAAATTGCCAGAATCATTCCGTACATTGGGAAGCAAAGCACAGGCAGCGATGAAAAGGACTCGCGCATTGTTGCAGACGCGATTGCAGGGCTGGTAGAACAACTTGGTCACAAGACTTCTTTGACAGCTGTAGGCCCTCCCACCGCTTGCTAAAGGGTTCGAATGCTAACGGCGCTGTGCCCAGTATCATGTGCCGACGGGCAATGCCGAGGAAGAAGCGATTGCAATCCGAGCGCTCCACAGCAAGGACCATAAAGATTTCGAGAGCCGTAAGTGCCACCGATCCTTTCCATTCCATGTTCAGATACTGACAGGTGTCTGTAGTAAAGCAAATTGTTCACAATCTTTACTAGACTGTATTTTTAAGATTGAAACTAGTAGTCAGGTACCGGTAGTAGGTAGACAGCATAATGAAGCAATCTCAAGAATCTCTACACCATTGAACACGGTGCAAAAACTCAGATACGTAAGATTACTAACTAAAGGGACCACTCCATCCTCTCCGCAATGCGTCCAAGGAAAACAAGTCCACGATCAATAACTTTGTGTTCTCGCCCTCCGTACCCCAGCCAATCATCGCGCAAGTTGGCCGCATTTCCGCGACCACCTCCGGGCCTGCACCGGCTAAGTTCACACCCGCCACAAACAGTGTGGAGACCTTATCCGCGCCCGCATTTCTTAGCCGTGCATCGGTCCGGCATTTGCGTCGGAGGTACCCCCAAGCCTCTAGGGTGACGATGCATGTGCTATGTCGTGTGGGGAGCTGGTACTCCGCACTGAAAGTCGTTTCTCTTGAGATTCTTTTTCACCTTGTGTGGTTTATTGAGATTTGAGATTTTGGAGATTTTGTGTGGTAGTCACATTCACGTTGTCTACGGTGGTTCACGATTGAAACGCATCACGAGTTACTGAAGAGAAGCAAGATCAGAAAGTACTTACTTACACACATACTTCTTGGTCGAGGTGTAGCAGTGTAACCACTCAAGGGCTTTGGAAAGAACTCACAATTACAACCAAAACCACATTCTCCACGATGCAAAGATCATTCCTCTTCAGCGCCCGCCGTCATGGCCCACCAACAGGTCTCCGCTTCCTCTCCAGCACGCCCTCCCGCCTCGCAATCAACAAAATCGTCTCCTCAGCCGAAGAAGCACTCAAAGACATGAAACCCGGCACCACCGTCCTCGTCGGTGGCTTCGGCTTCTCCGGCGTGCCCAACACGCTCATCAACGCACTCCGAGACCGCAAGGACCTGACCAATTTCACAGTCGTCAGTAACAATGCGGGCATGCCGGGTGTGGGCCTAGGCCAGTTACTGGAGACGAAGCAGATTGGCACCATGATTGCAAGTTATATCGGCGATAACAAGGTGTTTGAGCAGATGTATCTCAAGGGCCAATTGAGTCTGCAATTGACGCCCCAGGGCACGATTGCGGAGAAGTGCGCGGCGGGTGCGGCGGGTGTGCCGGCTTTCTACACACCAGCTGCTTATGGAACTATAGGTAACAATCCTCCGCACGATATACCCAGAATCACGAGAAGCTAATCCAAAATTTCTCACAGTACAAACGGGTGAACTGCCAGTTCGCTACAACACCGACGGTACCATTGCCGTCATGGCGCCGCCCAAAGAAACCCGCGAATTCAACGGCAAGCAATACGTCCTCGAAGAAGCCATCCACGGCGACTACGCCTTCGTCAAGGTCGCCAAGGCAGATCGACTGGGCAATTGCCAGTTCCGCAAGGCGCAGAACAATTTCAACGAGGCCATGGGCAAGAATGCAAAGATGACGATTGTCGAGGCCGACGAGATTGTAGAGGACGGCGCCATTGCACCCGAGGATATTCATCTGCAGGGCATTTACGTCAAGAAGGTGATTAAGAGTACCGTGGGCAAAGCGATAGAGAGACTAGTGCATTACAAGGATCCCGAGGCTCAGAAGAAGGCTATTCTTGAGGGTGGTGCGTTCTTTCTTGTCTGCACGTATGTGTAACTTTAGTTCTTTTGCTAACGAAACTCTGCCAGGCTCGTCGGAAGCGGCGCAGAAACGCGAACGCATCATCAAGCGTGCGGCGCAGGAACTCAAGGATGGCATGTATGTCAATCTTGGTATTGGGATGCCGCTCGCTGCTCCCGCATTTTTGCCAGAAGGCACGGAGATTGTGTTGGAGTCTGAGAACGGGATTCTGGGGATGGGGCGGTATCCCATGCCGGGCGAGGAAGGTGAGGAACACGCACGATATGCCGAAACAAAAACCATGTACCAATGGTTTACAAACTTGACACTTTACTGACTCTGTTGTTTACACAGACCCGGACCTGATTAACGCGGGCAAAGAGACTGTCACGCTGATCAAAGGAGCCTCTACCTTTGGTAGCCATGAGAGTTTCGGAATGATAAGATCAGGACGCATCGATGTCGCCATGCTCGGCGCCATGCAAGTCAATCAATACGGAGGTACGTTCATCTCCCTTCTCCCCCATCCATTCCGCCATCCCTCTTCAACCCACCCAAACCCAACATTCACCCCGTTAACACCCCTCCAGACCTAGCAAACTTCATGCTCCCCGGTAAAGTCAAAGGTATTGGCGGCGCCATGGACCTCGTCGCCAACCCCACGCAAACCAAAGTCGTCATTACCATGGAACATGTGGACAAAAAGGGCAACCCCAAGATCCTCAACAAATGCAGTTTCCCCCTCACGGGCCAAAAGTGCGTCAGCACGATTATCACAGATCTAGCGGTGTTTGATGTCGATCGGGTGGAAGGATTGACGCTGAAGGAGGTGGCAAAGGGGGTTAGTGTGGAAGAGGTGAGGAGTAAGACGGAGGCGCCGTTCAAGGTTGCAGAGGACTTGAAGGAGATGAGTATTTGAGTTGTGACAGGTCTGTAAGTGATGTTGGAGAAATCGGTACGATGTGTACAGATGAAGTGTTCGTGTCTCGATCAAGGGTAGGAATAGCATATTGGGGATTTCAGCATAGGCGCATGTAAAAGGTGTTTATTCATTGCTCAACCATCCCAAAAAAAAATTAGACAAAACTTCTCTCAACTGTCACAAATCCCACCCCCATCCTCCCTCACTCTACTTACTCCCCCCCTCCACCTGATCCAGCGTCACATACGCCTCCCCAGGCACATCCTCACTAATATCACCCCACGCACTCCAATGCTTATGCACCAACCTCCTCCCCTCCACCTCATCCGCAATCGCAATCGCCAAATCCCCCACACTAATCCCCGTCAGTCTTCCCTCAAACACACTCTCCCCCTCCTTCTGCTCCCCGACCAACACCATATCATCCACACTAATCTCATACCTCCCCGTCCGCTTCCCCGGCCTGTACAGCGCCGCCGGCGACACAAAACTCCACTCAAACGACGTATTCCCATCGAAAAACATAAACGCCGTTCGTCCCGCCTTGATAAAATCACTCGCCATATCCTGCGTCCGGATCTCGTCTTCGTACTCTTGTATCGCGGCGCGATCGGCGTCAGTGGCGCTGCCGTTGCTCACGGCGAGGCGCGCGCTGCGGTAGCGTCGGAGTGCGGTGCCCATGATGCCCAGGCGTTGCTCCATGTAGGCGATGTGGGCGAGTGAGGTGGAGATTGCGCGGCGGTAGGCGAGGAAGAAGTCTGGGTGGTCGACGCAGGGGGTTTGGGTGCCTGGGACGTGGAGGGAGCCGGCGCCGCCGACGAAGAGGAAGTAAGTTGCTGGGGAGAGTTTGTAGGCTAGGATGAGCTTGCGGACGGTTTCGAGGAAGGGCACTTTGGGTTGGTTAGTTGTTGTTTTTCTGGTTCTTCTTCTTCCCCCCGCAGGAAGAATCACGGCGCAAATTGCTGGGTATAACTCACTGTATAAAAGTGCCCCTGCGCCCGCAGTATGCGGTCCATATTCCGAAACTAAGACATCAATCCCCTCGAAACTCTTTGCCAATTCTTCAATAGAAACGGCATCGATATCCACAGATCGTGGGATGTAGCGTTCATGTTTCCCTAGGTTTTCTGGGTGCCGGGAGATACCAATGACAGTGTGTCCTCTATTCAGCAATTCGACACAAAGATAGGAGCCGCCGAATCCTGCGGGGCCAATTACACCTACGCGCAGGGGTGCAGAGGACATGGTTTTTTTTGGGGGGGGGGTTTAGATTTGGGATTTGGTGGTGGTTTGGCAAAGATGACAATTTTTTCTTTGCTGGAGGAGCAAGTGTATAAAGGCCGTGATAAGTTGCGCGTACAGAGGCGATGCTGGTGAATGTAAATTCACATGATTTCTCATAAGCGACAGTCTCCAACCCTTCATACAAGCATCCAGCAAGGGGTCCAGCGGCACCCATGCAACCGAGGCGCGAATGGGTTGGGGTAATTTATGGGGTAAATGGTCGAGGTGAGGGGTGCATGTGGGGCAGAACACCACAGCCAGGGACTACCGTATTCCCCGCTGACCTACCTACATACTGGTAGCGAATTCTAGGCATTGGTTACTAACTAATTGAATCATTGGGAGCAGTAAACACGCGTTGTCACGAGGGGAAAACCACATACAAGTTGAGTATACATCAAGTTGATTATACACGGTACCATCATCGCTCAGCAAATTTCAGCAGGTTGTAGGGTATAGCAATATGGCGGAAAACTACGCTTTTATAGGTATACAGACTTTCACTATACCTTTCCATTCTCAATACAATGCTAAACGAAAATCAGGCCTGGGAGCCATGGGCTACGCAATGGCCTCCAACATCCGTAAAAAGATGCCAGCGTCTTCCACCCTCTACATCAACGACATCAATGCCGCAGCCTGCACACGCTTCCAAAACGAGTACAGCACTCTCGGCCCCATTGAAATCTTGTCCACTGCACGCGAGGCAGCCGACAACGCCAAAGTGCTGATTTCCATCGTCCCAGCCGGCGTCGACGTGAAGAAAGTATACCTGGACCACGAAACGGGCGTCATTGCCGCGCGCAAGGATAAAGATAGATTAATACTGGAATGCAGTACGATTGATGTCGAGACGACAAAGGAAGTAGGCAAGACATTGGGAGATGGAGGTTGGGGAATCTACATCGACACTCCCGTATCCGTACGTCCTTTTCCCAATCCCCCCCAAAGTCAAACCCCCTCCCCTTCTAACCAAAGCCATACACAAACAAACAGGGCGGAGTCCCAGCAGCCCAATCCGGCACTCTAGCCATGCTCATCGGCTACCCATCACCCCCCTCCGAACCCTCCCCCTCAACCCCATACCCCCATCTCCTTACCCCAACCCTCCACATGCTCGGCCCCCCCTCAAAATTCCACTACCTATCCACCCTCGGTGCCGGCCTGACCGCAAAAATCGCAAACAACTACCTCTCCGGCACAATCCTGCTCGCGACCGCCGAAGCCCTGGCACTCGGTACGCGTCACGGGCTCGATCCGCGCGCTCTGTATGCCGTGATTCAGTCGTCGACGGGCCAGTCGTGGATGTGCGACCACGTGTGTCCGATTCCGAATGTGCAGACGCAGTATTGGGTGCCGAGTAACAGTGGGTATAGGCCGGGGTTCCGGACGGAGATGATGGTCAAGGATTTGGATTTGGGGGTTAGGAGTGCGGCGGAGGTTGGGGTCGAGCCGACGATGGCGAGGGCGGCGTTGGCGGTTTGGGAACGTGCGGCGGTGGATGAGAGGTGTAGGGGGAGGGATGGGAGTAGTGTTTATTTACATGTTGGGGGGGTGTTGCCAGAGGGGTATGAGGATTTGGGGAGGAAGGAAGGGGGGGAGTGGGTGTTTGGGGAGTGATGGCTTTCAGATAGGTGGTGGAATTTCTGGTACAGATTTTTTTTGGAGCTTCCTAGCTGTAACTTACAGAGTTGGTGAGATGAGAAGAGACATTTCAGGGGAATAGGATGGCAATGATTCTTTGCATAAACTATAAGTGTGCAGTAGTTTGTGATTGTGACTAAAATTCCCCTACCTACCCTCAACATCCCCTCATCTCCCCTGCAAGAAATTCTGAAAAGCAGTCAAGACAGCATCAAACCCGACGGCCTCACCAATCTGCAAAATCCTCTCCTCTCTCCCGACATGCTTTGGGTCCCCCTCTGCAGTCCACCTACACGTATTTCCCTCACTACTCGGCCCATACACCCTCGCCGCAAATCCACCGTCCTTGACCGGCGGCCACGGATCCTCGCCATTGACAAACTTGATAAAGTCCTCGGCGTAGGCGCGTGCAACTTTGCGCTGCTCATCTCCAAGGGTGTCGTTGAAGTTTTGAAACAGATAGGCGACGTCGAGAATGTGGCCTGGCTCTCCTTGGAAGCGACCTTCCCAGGGAATCCCCTCGTTGAAGTGATACAGGAAGAATTTGTTTTCGGGGGTGTTGGGCCAGCCCTGTGCGAAGGCACGGGCGGGGGCGTAGAAGGCGATTTCGGAAGCGAAGCGAAGAATGGTGAGCACGGCTTCGTCGTCGCTGGTGGTGGGCGTGATTTTGTATGCAGAAAGGAGCTGTTGTGCGACTTCGGGATGGGACGAGAGAGATTTAGTGATGGAGTCTGTGAAGGCTTGGGCAATGTTTGCTTTGCGCGCGTCAAGTACCATATAGGCGATGATATTGGCGTCTAATTTTGACTCGCCGATCATGAGGGCTTTGCACCATTTTCTGCCTGGCATGGGCCATTCGGGGCTGTCTTGCTTGGAGGAGACATTTTTGAACGTGGGCAGGCCTGGGACTACGTCTCCGTCGATGGAAGGGATCAGGGGAGCAGCCGGTGGGACTTTCTGCCAGAGATCGTCTACAGGGCATTTTAGAAGGGCTTCTATACGCTCTTCTGGTGATTTGTCTGCGAGTTCTAGTGCTTCGACGACTTGTTTGTACGATGACTCTGTCACCTCCTGTGGTATAGGAGGGAAGAGGAGCACAGCTCCACCGGTGCTGAGACATCGCTTCATCAGAGGTTCCTTTGAGCAGAGGTGCATTGTTACGGATACTGCATATTATCATCAGCACGTGAAATCGACTCTAGAGCACTATCACTTACATCCACCAGCACTCTCTCCAACCGTCGTAATCTCATCCGGATTTCCACCAAATCCCCCAACGAACTTCTTGACCCACTTTAGTGCAAGACGCTGGTCGCGTAGGCCATTGTTTGGTTCATATCCCGCTTTGCGCAGTTCTTCAGAGGTCAGGAACCCTGGAGCACCTAGGCGATAACTGTGCTTGTCTTTAGCTAGCAGGCTTGCTGAGATGACAAGCCAAGGGCACTCACTTGATTGTGATTCCAATCATGGGCTTCTTCTTCTCCTTTGACAACCTGATCAGCGGCGCTGGATCGTAATGCGGGTACCAACTTGATCCCACGGCGAATCCTCCGCCATGAATAAAAACATAAACGGGCAAATTCGCCTTGTGATCAATATCCCCATTCTCATTCGATGGTACAGTGACATTCAGGTTCAAGCCTTCCAGATCGGAATGTGGCGGCACATCCGGTAACGGCAGCGTCTTTTGGATATAGCCAAACTCGTTGTTGATTGCGCCGATTGGAGAAATAGGCGGTGGTCTTGCAGGTAGGTATATTAGTAGGTTCCAGTTATGCGTGAAGTGACTTCACTGTGAATTGGTGTGAAGGAGATCTTACCCGAATTTCGTCGCATCCCTCGTCTGCGGACCATATCCCTCCACCATCTCGGCCCTTGCAAAACGGTTCTTCAACGCGCCATACTGCAGTCCGAGAAACTGTACAACACCATCTACACTATTCCCCCGTATCTCGCCCAGCTCCGTGTGCTTCAACGTGGCCGACATGTCTCTTGCTCGCTCTGAAGAAGATTTCGGTGCAATTGCGGGAATTTAGTTACCTCTCACTTTCGTCGTTGTCTGTGGTTTGTTTATGAACTCGTCTACCTACCTGTCTATGGTATATGCCGAACAGTCGTCACCCCCCTGTCGAATAAGGATCCAGGCTTGTTGCCGCAGATCGTAAGGAAGGTTGCGGAAAGGTCAGGCGTGGGGAAAGGCGTTTACCCCGCGTCGCTTTCACGCCAAGTCGATAGCTGTGGTGGGGCGAAGCTTTAGGTTGTGCTCCCCGAGTAGATGGCCGTCTTAGGCGATGTGGGGGAAAACATGGATAGTATGGCAGCTTCATATGATCGGATGCCGGAAATTTAGAGTCTAAGGCCTGCTTTCTAGGCATGCAGATTAATCATCACGTGTGGCTACGGTAACTGTGAGGGTGAGTAGCTGGGTGTCTTGGAGTTTTGCTTCAGATTCATGTCACTACGGTACCGGTACCTACCATTCAGTCAATTGGTGCAGCACCAAGGAACATTCGAAAAATATGGCAACCCATGAAAACAAAGACGAGACTACAGAAATGGGCAGTGTACCGCAAACCGACGCGTTTGTGGAATTATCGCTGCTTGATGGCGGGAGCTTTCTAGCTGATCTCAGCCGCATGCACGAGGGCGAATCTGGCACGTTCCGCATGTACAACTGGGCATTTTACATATCCCATAAAGGGAGACATGTCCTTTGGGATCTGGGGTTAGATGAGGTATGTATGTGGTGGTGTTGATGCGCCCTGATATCAACAACCCATTTGGCTACCATACTTATAAAAACACTCATCTATAGGATCGCAGCTGTTACACACCATGGGTCAACAAGCACATGCTCGACATTTGCAACCACGTCGGTCCCCGTCGAAGCATAGTCCAGCAATTATCAGAACGAGGCGTGACGGCTGATCAGATCGACACCGTGCTATTTAGGTACGTCTTCATTCTCCATGTTCGCTCAACGATTCAACACGAACACTTCAATCTTCCAACTCTACAACACTTCAACCTTTCACCCCTTCAACCCTCCACTCCAACCCTCCAACCCTCCACTCCAACCCTCCAACCCTCCAACCCTCCAACGCTCTACCCCTTCACCCATTCACCCACCCCTCCACCCCAACTAACCCCCCCAGCCATGCCCACTGGGACCACTCCCGCCCCATCAGCGACCTCTTCCCCCACGCCACCGCCCACTTTGGCCCGGGCACCTACGCCCACTGCACCCCCGGCCACACCCAAAACCCCTCCCACCAATTCGACGGCCGTTTCTTCGACCCCATCCACGCAACCGAAAAAAGCAGCGAACTAACCGGCCCCTGGATCCCCTTTGGCCCCTTCCCCAAAGCCCTCGACTACTTCCACGACGGCAGTTTCTGGATCCTACAGGCGCCGGGCCATATGCCCGGGAACTTGGCGGCGGCGGCGCGGCTGCAGAGTGGGGAGTGGGTGGTGTTGGGGAGTGATTGTAAGTAGGAAAAGATGGGATTTGTGGGGGGGTTTGAGGGATGTGATGCTGACTGAAGTTTTTTTTTGCGGGGGCATAGGTTGTCATTCGCGGTAGGTTTGCTGTATACCTGTTTCATTATATCATCCCGTGTGAGAGAAGACTGACCCCATTAGACCCCTTCTCGACGGCCAGTGCCAAATCGCGTCGTTTCAGGGCCCGGGGAATGAGATGTTGTCGCTGCATGCGGATGTCGAGGCTGCTCGGAGCACGATTGCGAAGATTCGGATCTTGGAGCGGGATTTTGGGTTTCATACTGCACTGGCGCATGATTCGTCGTGGTTGAAGAAGGGGGAAGATGCGGTGTTGATGGGTTTGTTGGATGATGAGATGCGGGTTGCGGCGCGGGAAAGAATACCTTTTGATGAGATAGCTTGAGTGCAAGACATGGAGACGGCGGTTGTTGCGATGGCCTAGTATCTTTGAAGGGTCGACCTAGGTATAAGCATTTGTATTATCCATATACTAAGTCCCAAATGAAGAAGTGGGATAACATTCTGCTTTGTACCTCACTGCCGAATTCATTAACCCCTTCTTCAATCACAAAACAATTCAACCACAGCAAACACTTAGAACTACGTCACCACTCCTTCCCCAGAGCTTCCAACAATAACACGCCATGAAAATCGCACAAATACCGTGAACACCAGGCCCACTCCAAACAACAACATAAAATCAGCGTCACCATGTGGCGCAGCCTCTTCCTGAGCGCCATCCCCCAAGTCCGAATATTGCGACCTGGTGTCTTCATCGCCATCACTGTACAAAACTCCATCGCACAGAAGCGGACTGCACGATGGCTTCCCCTTTCCATCACTCCACATCATAGCTGCAGGAAGTTTCATATCCACCGTATCATCTTCTTCCTCCTCAACCTCCCCACCTCCCTGCTCATCCTCACTATTCGGCTGCAATCTTTCACGTAGATACTGCTTCCAAGCGTCTTTTACAGGGGTACCACATTCGAAACTACTCTCATTCTCATTGTCAGAAGACAGACTTTCGTCCAGCGGCGCAAGATCATCATCTCTGAACTTCTCGAGTTCTTGGAGTTCCGCGCGCTCCTCAGCGTCCAGATCGTCCATGTAAGCGGGTCGAGCCATGTTTGCAAATTCATTTGAGACCGGGGCTTTATGGCGGCGCCTGGTGGGTGATTCGGAGTATACATTCGCTTTACTGAACCCGGGTAGTGGTGTACTTAGTACTGTAGACGTTGTGGGCATGGGGCTCAGATTGATGCTGTCGTCCGCATCAACACGAATGCTAGGTTCCTGGCTCTCTTATTAGCTATCGTGGACGACGTGCATCTGCACTGGTAGAATATTCAAAATATACCTTTTCCGAACCATCTGAGCTCTCAGCATCGAGTACCCACTCCGCCGCATCGCCACTATCATACCGATCTTCTTCGGCTGCAGCTTGAGGAATGCGGCTCTTTTCTTGCTCCCATTTCTTCGTGAGTTCCTCGTTGATCTGGGTGCGAAGATTGTCCCGTCGATTCTGCTCACTCTTTGGAATGAGACCGGGTCCCGGCCAGGCACCGCTGGTATACTGGCTGGACGCTGTCCGTCCGGTCATGTATGTTGTGTTCAAGACTTCTTCCATGGTATCTTCTTGAATCTTTTCGTTCCCACTCGTTTTCTGTGTCTTGATATCTGCTGGATAGTGCTGCACATATAACTTGCTAAACGCTGGCTTCGATGGTCTTGCAGTTTTGTCCGGATTTTCACAGTCTCCGCTATCGTGGTCTTCGTTCCCATCCTTTTGTTCCTTTGGCTGCGCTTCGATATCCACATCTTCCCCGTCGCTTGAGGTCATACTCTTATCCTCATCCTCATACCCATCGCTCGCCTCGTCACCATAATCAAACTGCTCTTCACCGTATCGCCACTCGTCTTCTTTTCCAGCGTCACTACTGCCCTCCAACAATTCATAATCTCGAGTGACAATTTCCCGAACCTCCAGTCGTGATGGCGAGAGGGAAGGTGCAAGAGTCTGCGTAGTCGGTGCAGTTGACGGTGATGAATCCAATTCGCCCAAGATTCTGTCTATAGCGTTGCGCACATTGCGCGACGAGCTCAGCAGTGTAGAGACTGGAGATTCCGAAGCAGCAGCAGAAGAAGAGGGTTTTCTCGGTGATGCTGGAGTAGAAGGCATCGTGAACGACGGCCTGTTGCGGGAGTGCAATCAGCTGTTGTTGGAGCCGGGATGAGTGGGTAGGTCTGATTGTAGCGTGGTCAAAGTAAAAAGAGTACATGAACAGAACGAATGAACAAACAACTGTCAGATCGAGACTTGGTTGCCACAGCAAGCTGTTTGGGAAGGCGCAAGACGTCACTGTGCGATGCTAAGATGGTGAAAGAGGATGCACGCGCCCTCCACCACGAATCTCAACAACGCCACTTCTCGGAATCAGGGTAAGAGCAAGGATCGTGTACTTGAACATAATTTCCCATTGTGTTTCTGTGAGATACTATTTCCACATCAGATGCCAACACTCCATTCCAAACCAACTCACCACACCCACATCAAACCTCAACACCATCCTCATTCACCTTGACACCGCGAAGCACGTATCCATCTCTCCTTGCCTCCTCCGCCTCGCTCGCCACCATCTCCCTCGCCCATTCACCTCTAGGCACCCACCTAACCTTGTACGTCTTCGCCATCGTCGTGCTCCCCGCATCAAACGCCGCATCCCCAGTATCAACCTTTACTTCCCTCCCGTCTTCCCCAAGCGGCGGCAGAATATCAAACGCCCATAACAGTTTCGCGAGGACAATGAACATGCTATTCTCTGCGAGGTGGACACCGCTGCAAATTCGCCTGCCGGCACCAAAGGCCCAATGATCTCGCGCCTCGGCGGGGCCTGCGGCGTAGTGGCCTGAGCCGTAGGTGTAGCCGAGGAAGCGATCTGGGTTGAAGGACTCTGGGTTGGGGTAGATTTCCGGATTGTAGTGGATAGGGTATTGTTGGAGGCAAACGACGGATTGGGCAGGGATGTAAATGTTGTTGTAAGATATGGGCGCGGTAGTGTAGTGTGGGGTACCGATGTTGGTTACAGGGCGAAGACGCAAAGTTTCCTTGACAATGGCGCGAATATACGGCAGTGAAGACTCGTCTGAGAATGTGGGCGAGCGCTGGGTTCCGACGACCGCGTCAAGCTGCTCATGGGCTTTGGCTCGGACGTCTGGGTGTGCAGATAGGTAGAGGATTGCGGTGTTGAGGGCTGCACTGGTGGTTTCACTGCCAGCTTCTATCATGCTGCCTGCGAGGAAGGCGGCTTGGAGTTCGGATATACCTTGAGAAGCATAGTCGCTGTCGACGAGCTGTTTGACGAAACACTCGGGGGCAGATTTTGTTTCCATTTGCGTTTTGAGAGAGCTGAAAAAGGACATCCAGAGGTTGGCTTGCTTCTGAAAATAGGGTTGAAGAGGTTTGCGCCACCATTGAAGACGTCGAGGTAGGGCACCCAGGAAAGGAAGAGTATCGGCGAGATAGTGCCCAGGTTTCGCAATGACGCTAAAGTCGGCCATGAGGGAGTAAACTTGGTGGACTTCCTCACAGTCCTGCCATGACCGTGTCAGTTTACCATTGACAGGTATATTGAGGGACTGAAAAGGATCAAACTCACCCACTCCGGTATCCGCCTCCCATACGTACTCGTCATGATTACACTGACAGTATACCTCCTGATCGCCTTGTAACTCACTTCATTCCCAACCTTCTCATCCCCATTATTGAGAATCTCCTCACACAGCATCTTGGCCTCATACTCCTGGCTGGGTTTGAACGTAGCGCTCACCGCCGGCGTCAACAACTTATGGCTGATTCCCCTCAACTTCCTCCACTCGGGCCCATACTCCATAAACAGGAAGCGCATCCCGCCCGACAAGGCATCGCTGGCCACTGGCAACGGCGCCCGCGAAGACGTGTGTGCAGATTGCTTGTCGAGAATCTCCTTGCAGGCAGCAGGCGAGCATATCATGTACCAGTCGTTCCAGCCGAGTCGGATCTTGTACAGGTCGCCGTATTCCCGCGCCCATGCGGTGATTTGTCGGTGTGGCTGCGCGCCGAGTTGGTGTGCATTGCCTAGGATTGGGACACCTTTGGGACCTGGAGCGGGTTTGAGGCCGGGAGGAGGTTTGTTCTTATACCGGTTATAGAATAGGAGGCCGAGGAGAAGGAAGAAGACGAGGACGAGAGTGTACATGTGGGCCAGCCTTTATCTTTTTGAAGATGCCAATGAAACTTTCAGAAAACCGCTAGCAATGAGAGAAAGGTGCGAAGTTTTGGCTGATGACCTATCTGCTGTGTATGATACGATGCATAGAATTTGCATATAACTAATTCCCTGGGGATCGATGTTCTAGTATCGGCATGTAATTAAAGTTTTGGGGAAAGACTAGGATGCTGCCCTTCCCCACATTGTCGCACGCATTGAATCTAAGGGATTGCGGGGAACGACACGGCCACATCCCAAACAGGCTCCAAAGGTAATGCTGTGTAGATAATGCACCATTTCTCCAACAAAACGTCTCGTCGTTGCCCAAAGACTCCGGCCATTGCTCGTCTACTACCGGTACCGGTATTGCGGGAAGACCGGAAGTGGCCTTGCTTTCCACGACGAGGTAAACTTCCATTTCCCCCAGCACAAACACAAAAGTGATTCTTGTCATCGACTTCCATGGCCTCCCTACAAGAAGCGAAGAGACTGTGGAGATCGATCTTCTTTGGTCTGATCTGATGGGGTCCTTCTTGTAGCCCACAAAAAGCGTCGCCCATGTAATTTGTCAGCAGCTTCACTCATTCCACCCCCGGAACCGACGGATTCCCACTAGTCAAGCCATGGGAAAAGTCAGTCACCATGGCCTCTCCCATCATATGAACAACAATTCATGGCGTTGTTGCGCTTCGCCCTTCCCCCGCCCCTACGCCTCCAACGCAGCACCACCCTCATCCTCCACCACACCGCACCGCGCATAACCCGCCGCGCCCTATCCATAATGTCCACCCCTCCAAGCTTCAAACTCGACCCCACAATCTTCAACGCCGACTTCTACAAACGCATGGCCGACTTCTGGTTCTCCGGCGTCGACACCACCGGCCGCTCCTTCGAAACCAACACGATGCACCGCTGGTTCGGCGCAGGCAGCCCAGACGAAAAGCGCAGTTTCGACGACGCATGCAGAGTCATAGCCTCCCCGGCCCTCTCCAGCATCAGCCCCACTCACTTCCCCAACCCAACCGCCCAACCCTTCCTCGACGAGTTGGCGCGCGTACACAACGAGGGAACAGGCATGTGCACGACGCACGATGAAGACGTAGCCTGGACCGCCCTAGCCCTCGTCCTGCTGCTCGACCAAATGCCCAGGAACTTGTTTCGCGCGGGCGAGGGCCTGAGAAGTGTGTATATGCATTACGACAAGATGTCTTATGCTCTTGCTTCAACCCTGATTACAACTCCCTCTCTACCTTTTCCCCGGCCAGACAAACACCCGCTCTTCTCGCGCTCTGCTGCTCATAGGTCGTGGTTCTTCATGCCGCTAATGCACAGTGAGGATCCCGCCGCCCACGACCTCCTCGCCGCAGAAGTCGCGTCGTTCCGGGCAGAATGGGAAGGCATGCAGGATGTGGACGGCTCAAGGACGCTTATGGAGCGCTTCCACGAGGCGGCAATGACGCATAGAGACATTGTGGAGAAATTTGGACGATATCCGCATCGTAATGTGGCCATGGGGAGAACGAGCACGCCCGAGGAGCTAGAGTTTCTGGACAACGGGGGACCGACGTTTGGGGTGGTTGTGGAGAAGGAGGCGGGTGGGGAAGGGGCTTCATCATAGCTAACTGTTTGAGAGTTGGGAGGATATACCAACTATTAGTGAATAAACCTTTGGTCAAGCTAGGAGCATAAATGGAGTTGGTCCTAGACTTTACAGTTTGCATGAACATTTGTTCGTTGCGCTCACATTGTCTCTTGTGTAATAATGATGCAAAGTTAACAAATACATCACGTACAACAAATGTCTCTCTATTATCATACCGTACACTGCAGGTCAAAAAGCACATTCATTCCATCCACTCTAACACTCTATCTATACACCAACCTAAGAGAAAAAAAAACGACTCTTCTCTCTTCCCCCTACCTCCCAGCCAACACACCACTATCTTCTTTCCACCGTCCCAAAAAAAACCCCTCCTATCATCCCCTCCCTCGCAAAGGGTACCCCAAAAAGAACGGGTCCTGCCGCGACTCGAACGCGGGGCCTCTCGCAAATGTGCTCTGGGAAAACCCTAAGCGAGAATCATACCACTAGACCACAGGACCATTTTCTTATGGAAAGATTTCTGAATTATAGTGTATATATTCTTGAAAATCTAAGACAGGGAAAAGGAGAGCGGGTTTTGGTACATGCAACCTGGTTTTTTGGGCTAGGGGGGATCGACGAGGGAGATACGGGATGGGGCTAGTGGGGGCGATGTCAAGGTTGAGGTTTTGGGTTTTGTGCTTAGCGTGGGTGGGGGGATGGGTGGACTGTACTAGAGGGAGGTGTTAAGATGAGATGGAGTGGGAGATGGTTTTGTGGTGGAGTAGATGGTATTTTTGTTTGCTATATTGTGTCGGAATTGTACATCGTTCTATACACCACACGCTACACTCCACGTGCCGCAAAGCAAGCCAAAGTGTCGCTATAGCACTACTCCTCACCTCATCCCTCGACTGCAAAATGCACCGCCAAAAGTCAACGCCACCGATCTTATCTGGATACACTCTATGCCGTCTTCGCCTTCCCCTCCTCCCCCTCATGATTCCCCCTCAACTTCTCCCGCGGCGGCAAAACATCCGGCCCAAAGCTCAAGGGCAACAGCTCGCCCATCGTCCTCACAATAAACGTGCCCTCCTTGTTAAACATGAACACGGGCATCTCGAGCGCGCAAAACTCGCGCAGGAATTGGCGACACATGCCGCACGGGCTGCAGAAGTCGGCAATGTCGGTGGTGACGGCGACGGCTTTGAAGGCGCCGAGGCGGTGGCCAGCGTGCACGGCGGTGGCCATGGCGACGCGTTCGGCGCAGGTGCCGACGGGGTACGAAGCGTTTTCTACATTGGCGCCGGTTATGATTTGGGGGGTTGGGGAGGGGGAGGTGGAGGTGGATGAGGGGGCGGCGGAGGGGTTGATGAGGAGGGATGCGCCGACGCGGAAAAGGGAGTATGGGCCTGGGGAGGTTACGAATTAGCTTTGGTGTTTTAGGTGAAAAGCTTGAAAAGAGAACAATGCCAGATAGAGTATTAGGGTAAGGAGAACAGTGAAGAATGGCGTGGACATGGACTGAACGTACAATAAGCCTTCGTCTTTGCCTCAAAGCATGTTTCGCCCAGAGCCTGCAACTCCTGAGCAGAGACTCCGTGGATCAGCCCATCTATTTCATTCACACCTTCTCCTGGGGTGAATTTTGGAATAGGTGTGGTCATGTTGAGAGGGGAAGAGGAAGGGAGGAATCACGGCGCGTCGCGGGGCTATCTACATATAGCTTGTGAATGACGATGAGCCGAGGCGCGCCGCGGGGCAGAGCTACGACTCTCAAAGGAAGGTTCGGGCAACTCCGATGACAATGATTACCACATCATTCTGGTGTGGTTCGCTATCTTCGTGCCTCTTCGATTGATTTCCTTGTGCCGGTCTTCGAATCCGTGTTTGTTGCTTATGTTGGTGTTCTTTGGGGGTGGGTAGATGGATGCAGAAGACGGCTTGATGAATTGTCTTCATCGCCTATATTGCCCACGTTTAATCTTAAGAGCTTAAGCAATTGACCGAAAGAAGGGTAGTTCAGGAAGCGTAGAGGGTTCAATGCTTATGCGACGAAGGACGCGTAACATGTATGATTGTACATCACTGGGCGAGCAGCTGCCCAGCTTCTGCGGAATTCTCGAGGCCCGTACAGCGTAGGGCAACGATAGCTGTACGTGTGGGCATAGATAGAGCACTCTTTTCGATGAGACATGAGCGGTCAATGGAGGGGGTCAACGTTGTGGCTCAGGATGATTGCGACATAGACAGGCAAACGACTGCACATCTCACGTCTGCAGATCCATGTCAGACATCTCCACGTGCCTCTCAGAACAGGACCAGCCAGGTAGGTAGTCGGATTCGATATGGAGCGAAGCATACTGGCGCGGCTCTGAAGTGCAGTGTAACATGTACATTCAGACGTATTTAGTCAACCTGCTTTTTCAATGATTCAACACGACGCCCTTTCCCTTCTCCCAACCCTCGATACTCTCTTGGATATTGCTCCAATACCTCAACCGCACCACCTCTCCCCTAGCCCCCTCCCAGTCCTCTTTACTAAACATTTCCCCTAATTTTGCTACGCTTTCTTTTATCCTCTGCTCATTCTCCTCCCTTAACCCTGCCAAATCCTCTTCTTTCTCAGCCTCCTCGATCAATTCCCGTGCCTCCAATACCTCCATCAACAGCTCCGGGTCCTCCACTTTGGCCGTCTCGTCCTCAGCCGTCTCGATGCCGCGGAGTGAGAGTAGGTATTGCGCTCGAAGAAGCGGCGACTGCAGGGTTTTATATGCCGTGTTGATAGTCGAGGACAATGCTTCGGCGCGCTTCTTATCGGATTGCGCATGCATGTCTGGGTGGGCGCGGGCCTGGAGTTGAAGAAATTCCTTCTTCAGGGCGCTCAAGTCTATGTCAAATGTTCCCGCAGGCGGCGGGCCATGTGGTAATGACTTTGGGAAGAATTCATAGTGTGTCTTTGGTGCAGAGGTGGATTGCGCTGATTGCGTGTCCAAGGCCGTTTCACGCGCATTGGGAGTCGTGCGTGTGGACTGAAATCGGCGGTAAGAGGGCTGCGACGAGGTGCGATGAAGACAGAGAAGGCATGGAGCTGCTCTCCGAGCTATCTGTGATCGTGAAGGGGTCGACTCGGATATGAGGCATGAGCGAATCCTACGGGCGGTTTGAGACGCTATCGACCGCATGATCGTGGGTTTTTATAGGATTGAGGGAGGCTATGAATTCGATCTGGTGCTTTGAAAAAAAACAAGATGAAGTGACTCGAGTTCCCTGCAGAGGTTGAGCGGGGGGGAGGCTATGTGGACAGATGAATGTGGTCACTGGTGTGAGGCAAAGGCTGAGGCGGCGAAAGAATTTCGTCTTCATGGATCGCTCGTTTACGTCATCAAGCTTCCGATCATGATCACCGACATTGCAAAAACCATCATCAACTACTATAGTTCCATCGTCTCTGGATATGGCTATGTTTGGGAACAATACAGCGAGAAGCAAGTACATACCTCCACATCATGAAATCTGCAATCTCACAAGCCAGGAGTCGAGAGTCCTCAGTCAACAGCCAGGGTGCTACCGGTAGGTACCGATACTGCATTGAGCGTGCAGTAATCTTTTGAATCCACTACCGGTACTGTCCACGGCAGAATGGAGACTTAACCCCGACAAGCAAATGATGGGGCTATGGCACAGTAGCGTAGCTGTCAAACTCTTGGTGCAAACGTTTTGCCAACCTGACATGGCCCAAGATCTGAAGTGGCACCCAACATCCCTGGAGCCCTCGAGGGAGGGATTGGTGACGAGCACGTGATCGTGAATGTTAACTGAAACAGCATCCAAGAATACACCATCATGGGTCAGCCATTACGACGCCGATGCCCAGGATTCCAGATCAGTCAGTGGGTCTACTATGCAGGACAATCCTTGGAACCCTCCCCAGTTCCCCCCACCATCATGGAGATCGTGAAGGATTCCACTAGTCAGCGCAACCATAGATAATGCGATCCGTCCAAGTACAGCAGAGGCCGGAACAATCTCACAAACAGGAGCCATACTGTGATACCTACACTCATTTACCTTGCCCATCATCATTCACTGAAGCCTGTTGCGGCGTAATACAACAGAGTATGCCCGCAGCTGACAGGCCTGGCCAGGCCCACTAAGGCTGGTAGGGATTTGCCACCCGAATCCGATGCAAGCAGGATTGCCGACGGTGTACCTGACAGCATGGCATTTTCTGCGATTTGCTGTCTCCGATTGTACGATCCTTTTCACTCCATGAGACATGTTGACGGAACGGCGGCCTGCCATGGCGCTGGAGCGCGATGCCTCCGTCGATGACGCTCGCGCACGAGAGCTCTACAAATACTTTCGTCCTCCGGCTGTGGACGGTGGTTTGCCGGATACAGTCCTTGCGGCGCACGCACAGCTCGTGGCTTGGAGGCTCGACGCTGAGCGCTCCATGATCACATTGATCGACGAGGAGACACAATACTTTGTTGCGGAAAGTACCAAGACATTACATCTCGACGACAACAACAAACACGATCACCCATGTGATGCGATATGGGCAGGCGTAAGTTCTGGCTACCTGGTTCGACACCGTTGGCTTACCATGCAATCAGTGCGTTCGCGTCCCCATGGCAGGGCGTCTATGCGAGCATACTCTCGCGACTCTGCCCCCGCCGGATGGTGGACCAGCCTGCTTTGAGGTGCTTGATCTATCCAAGGACGAGCGCTTCAATCAGCTGGATTTTGTGAAAGGAACGCCTCACTTTAGAAACTATGTTGGAGTCCCATTGCGCACGCGGAAGGGCATCAATATTGGTTCTTTATTCGTAATAGATAGCAGGATTCGCCCACCGCTCACCAAAGACGAGAGACACTTCCTCGGCACCATGGCGACCAATATCATTCAACACCTTGAAATGAACAAAGAAAAGAGAGACAACCAACGCACGGTCAATATGCAAAGATATTTATCAACCTATGTTGATCCTGAATTCCAACGCCAGAGGCACATGAAGTCACCTAGCCGGACAGTGGGAGTTAAAGCCTCTTCGGCGACCCTCAGATCAGATCACAGCGATAATGCCATGGATGGAGCTGAATGCCATGAGGTTTTCACTCCAGCTGCCGAGCTCTTAAAAGAGGCTCTCGATCTGGAGGAAGGTGGGGGCGGTGTGGTCTTCCTGGATACAGTGACTTCCCTTGGGAGATCCCAGCCCTTTGCGGCTGATACTGATAAGAGCGAGACGTCGAGTGGGCCAGAATCTGATCCAGAGGAGAGCGTTCGATATTCACGAAGCATACCAAAGGAGCATCCATCCTCACCTGATAGGCGCCCACAAGCGCAAAACTCGCGTACTAGCAACATGTTTACTGAGGTCTTGGCTCACGCATCCTACCCTGTACCCAAACGAAACTTTTCGAGACTTATTGCCCGACCATTCACAGCTTTATCACCGCAGCTTCTTTCCAAGCTAATCAAACGATATCCGAGGGGAAAGCTTTTCACACTTGACAAAGAAGGTCATATCGTGTCCAGCACAGACGACGACAAAGTGAACACCGTCTCTTCGCCGAACGAAAGGAGCCATCGAGTAGCAAAAAGCCATAGCGAAGTCAAAGCCTTGCGAGCCCACTTCCCCATGGCTCGCCAGATTATCTTTCTACCTTTGTGGGATCCTACAACATCACGGTCGTCTGCCTGCTTCGTATACAATTGCTCCGAGTATCGGCACTTCTCGCGAAACGCAGAGTTACTTTACTGTATCACTTTTACTAATTGCGTCATGACTGAGATCGGACGACTTGCTGCTGTCAAATCTGATCAGCAGAAGAGCGACTTCATTGGGTCAATATCGCACGAATTGCGTTCACCTCTGCATGGAATCTTGGCTTCTTGCGAGTTTCTGGGAGAAACTGAATGCAGCACTTTTCAGCGATCACTGGTTAGCACAGCGGACAGTTGTGCAAGAACCTTACTCGATACCATCAACATGGTACTTGATTACAGCAATATCAATACATTTGAGAAGAAGCAAAAGAAATCCAGAAGATCTCGGCAGGGAGCGCCAAGGACAAATTCGCCATCAGGAACTCTTCAGGCTGATTTGAGCGTTTACCAGCATGTTGACATTGCCGCTATAACTGAAGAGGTCGTCGACGGCGTAGCTACCGGGCACACCTTTAGCAGCATGCCGAATACCCCGGATGGCGATCTTCCGCAGGCCCAAAATGGCAAGTGCAACGACACAAAAGCGTCACTACTACTGATGAACCTCTCTGGTAATAAAGACGTGGAACTGATCATTGATATCCCTGCTAGAGACTGGACTTATTGGAGTCAGCCCGGAGCACTCAGGCGTATCATCATGAATCTAGTAGGCAATTCATTGAAGTATACAAAACAAGGCTTTGTTCTTGTAAAGGTTGACGCACACGAAGACTATGAACATCCGACTTTCGGCGATTCTGTCACATTGACTGTTACCGACTCAGGCCAAGGCATGTCTGCAGCATACATGAAGGACAAACTCTTCACGCCTTTTGCACAAGAATCAAGCCTGACACCTGGAACCGGTCTCGGACTGTCCCTTGTCAAGTCGATTGTCCGTATGCTTGATGGAACAATCGGGGTCGAGTCCAGCGTTGGAGTGGGTACCAAGGTCACTGTCGAGCTTCCCATGACACGGGGCGCTATCAGTAGCAACGGACACAGAGAGCCCACGAATCATGCGAACAGTGTTGTCGAACGTGTCAAGGACGATAGTCTTGAAGCGGTAAAGAAGCAGGTGAAGAAACGATCTATCGCCATATACTCGAACGGAAGAAGAGGGAACACAAAATCTCAGCATGAGGCAATAGTGCTGATGCGCAAAAGCTTGGAGACTTACCTGCGTGAATGGTGTGGTTTCAAGGTTCGCCCTTGGAACAAGCATGACCTTTTTGATATCATCATCTCCGAACAATCCAATGTCCAAGACTTGATGGTTGCCGCTCCT